GGCCCCAGGGTTCCCTGGATGGCCTTTCTGTGGGTGTGTGTTGGGTGGGGGTGGGGAGTGGAGGGGAGCTTCCAGAGTCCAGACACTGGCTGGGCCCTGAGTGCTTTTCAAGGTGTGGAACTCCCTGGCAGACAGGCAGTGACTCCCAGGCCAGGCCCTGGCTCAGTGCATCGAGGGCACGTGGCCCCTGGTCTGCCTGTCTCCCAGCCCCCTCAAGGGTCATGGGGCCCTAGGGCAGAAGCAGGGCAGTCATGTCGTCTCCAAGGCAGTGTCCTCTCTAGGCTCTCCTGAGCCCTGCCCTTCCCCCAGCGGCGTCTCAGGAGTCTCTGAGGTCAGCACACCAGGGCTTCCTTGTACCCAGGACCGTAGGCAGCTTTTCATCAAGTCGAGCTGCTGCCGTTCCTCCTGCCAGCAGCGCCTGTGGGTTTGGCGTAGTTGCTTCTGCTGCAGGCACCAGGCAAAGCAGAGCCTTGTGCCGGGCCGTGTGTGCGGGCTGTCCCTGTGAAGTGAGGATGCTCGCTCGCTGGGTGGTAGGCGCACGTGGGTGCTGTTTTTGCAGGTGTCACCAAGTTCCCTCCCAGAGGCTGACCCAGCTGCCCTCCCCCCAGCACTTTCGAGAGCCGCTGGAAAGGCTTCCTCTTGGGGGCTGCTCACTTGTGCCAACCCAGTGGGAGAGTGGCCGTGGGCAGGAAGGACGTGCCTGGACGTGGCCGTGTTCCAGTCAGACTGGGTTTGCAGACTCAGACGGGCTGAGGTCTGTGGCCTCAGGGGCAGAGCTAGTTTCTCCAGTTTTGCCAAGAAATCTCGTCAGACATTCGCCACACGCTAGCGTGGTTGCTCGCGCCAGTTCTGCTCACATAGCGGCTCCTCCCTCTGCGTGTCTGTCACGTCCCTGTGTCCCCAGCACATGCTCAGTGACTGGCCAGAGAAGTCTTGGGTGCCGACAGGGTGACGCTGCCCAGCACACCCAGGGGCTCCTTGTCGTGTCCGCTCATCTGAGGGGCTGTGGGCCGGGCTGAGAGAGGGCGCTGCTCCGTGCGCTGTTGGAGGGAGGCCTGTGGTTGTCGGCCTCCGCGGGAAACATCAGGTCTGCAGGGCGGCTCTGCCCTGGCTTGTCGCCTGCTCTTCGCGCTGGGAAGCGTGTGTCCGCCGTGTGGGCTGCGGGGTCCTTCTCCCCGGGTCCGTGGGAACGTGGACAGGTGACTTCATCTCTCTGAGCCTCAGACCCCTCATCTACAAGCTGAGTCGACGGTGGGCGGCTGCTCAGCTGTGGCTGTTGTCCTGTCGTCCCCACAGGAGCCCAAGACAGACCAGGACGAGGAGCATTGCCGGAAAGTCAACGAGTATCTGAACAACCCGCCGATGCCCGGAGCGCTGGGGGCGAGCGGGAGTGGAGGCCATGAGCTGTCTGCACTCGGCGGTAATGCTCACCCCCCCGGTGTGCTGTGTGGTCCCAGTAGGTGACCGATGTGCGGCTCCCTGACTGGGCTTTGTTTTTTAGTTCATTTTAGAGAGAGAGACAGAACGTTGATTTGTTGTCCCGCTTATTGAGGCGCTTGTTGGTTGATTCTTACATCAACCTGACTAGGGATTGTATCAGTACGGCTCTCTAACCAGCTGAACTACCCAACCAGGGCCCAGACCAGTTGTTTGGTTTTTGGTTTTGTTGTTGTTAATCCTCACTCGAGGATGTTTTTCCATTGAATTTTATTTTTTTCCTTAAGAGAATGGGAAGGGGGAGAGAGAGAGAGAGAAACCTCTATGTGAGAGAGATACATCAATTGGTTGTTTCCTACAAGACCCCGACTAGGGCTGGGGAATCGAACCTGCAACCCAGGTATGTGCCCTTGACCGGGAATCGAACCCATGACCCTCCAGTGTGTGGGCTGATGCTCTAACCACGGAGCAACACCAGCCAGGCCAGACCATTTTGTTTGTTTTTAAATCCTCAGCTAAGGATATTTTTCCATTTATCTTCAGATAGAGTGGGAGGGAAGGGGGGAGGGAAAGAGAAACCTCGATGTGAGAGAGACACATTGATTGGCTGCTTCCCGCATGACCCTGGCCAGGGCCAGGGCCTGAACTGCATGAGGTACATGCCCTTGACTGGAATTGAACCCGCGACTCTGGTCCACAGCCGTCGCTCTAACCACTGAGCAGCCGGCCAGGGCTGGGCCAGCGAGGGGAAGTGGAGAGTCCGAGTTAGGAGCCTGCACCAGTTCCCGGGGCCAGCCGCCCCGCCCTGGCTCATCTCCGAGGTGCTCATGGGGGGCGGCAGGCTGTGGGCTGCAGCTGCTCCTCGGCCGGCCTGGCCTGAGCGCCGTCTGTCTTCCAGGTGAGGGCGGCCTGCAGAGCCTGCTGGGGAACATGAGCCACAGCCAGCTCCTGCAGCTCATCGGACCCGCCGGCCTCGGAGGACTGGGTAACGCCCGCCCGCCCGGCCCGCGCCTTTGCCCGAAGGCGGCACCCTCAGCTGTGCTTGCTTTTGCGTTCGAGTCTGTTTCCTTTAAGCTCCTAATTGGCTCTGAGTGGTGTCTGTGAGTGTGTTCCCTGCGCTGCCTTCCCTGGGGGAGGGCCGCTGTGCCTTCTGGTGTGGGGGAGCTGGGCGGGCAGGGCCTCCAGGGCCCCGGGGGGGCCCAGCTGTGTGGCCCGGAGCTCGGCTGGCTGGGCAGGGGCCTAAGGAAGTGCTCCCTCAGTCGTGGCCTGGGCCACCTGTGGGTCTGGGACAAATGTGGAACAGTTGCTGCCCTGTACTGGGCGTGCACCACTGTTGCCTCGGCCCCCGTGAGGAAGGGAGTACAGGCCGTCTGCTTAGGAGTCGGCTCCCAGAACCCTCGGGTCCGAGCAGTCACCACCCCTGGGCTCTGCTCTCCGTGTTCCCTGCTTTCCCGGCCTCGGCGCGGGGCTCCTGCCCCTTAGAGGGGAGGCGGCTCTCCGGGTGAGCGCCACATCTGAGCACGCGTCTCCTTGCTCCTTGTAGGTGGGCTGGGGGCCCTGACTGGGCCAGGCCTGGCCAGTTTACTGGGGAGCGGAGGGCCTCCAGCGAGCAGCTCTTCGTCCAGGTGAGCCGCACCCTGCCCTCCTGCGCCCTTGGGCGTCACCCCGATCTCACCCCTTCAGAGACTGGACATCGGAGGTGCAAGACAGAATAGGTGTCCGGGAGGGTCATTTCCCAGTCCAGGTTCTTCCCAATGCAGGGGCCTCGGGCAGGACCAACGTGGTGTGGGTACCCGTGTGGCACCCACCTGCTCTGCTCTTCCCAGCTCCCGGAGCCAGTCAGCGGCGGTCACCCCATCTTCCACCACCTCTTCTGCCCGCGCCACCCCAGCCCCTTCTGCTCCAGCAGCTGCCTCGGCAACCAGCCCAAGCCCTGCGCCCAGCTCAGGGAATGGGACCAGCACGGCCGCCAGCCCCGCCCAGCCCATCCAGCTGAGCGACCTCCAGAGCATCCTAGCCACAATGGATGTGCCGGCCGGGCCAGCAGGTGGCCCGCAAGGTAACACGTGCTCCTCAGCTGCCGGTGTCTGCTGGCCCTGCCCGCTGGTGTTCCAAGGCACAGCCGAGCCTGTCCCTGGGCCATGCTGTGCCACATCCAGCAGGTCACAGCTCAGCTGTTGCTGTCTTCCCAAATGGGTGTCCGGGCACCTCAAGCCCCTGATGTGTGTGCTTGTGCCCTAGTTGACCTGGCCAGTGTCCTGACACCCGAGATCATGGCACCCATCCTTGCCAATGCGGACGTCCAGGAGCGCCTGCTGCCCTACCTGCCCTCTGGGGAGTCTCTGCCACAGACCGCAGACGAGATCCAGAACACACTGACCTCCCCCCAGTTCCAGCAGGTAACGCTGGCCCGGCTGCCCCTTTACTTGGCGATGGCACCAAGCGCCTTGGTGCCTCTGCTGAGTGTGTCAGGCCCTGCCCAAGTGCTTGCTCAGAGATGCCTGGCTCTTCCTTGCAGGCCCTGGGCATGTTCAGCGCGGCCTTGGCCTCAGGGCAGCTGGGCCCTCTCATGTGCCAGTTTGGCCTGCCTGCGGAGGCCGTGGAGGCTGCCAACAAGGGTGGTAAGTGTCTGCTCCTCCGCCTGCAGCCACAGCAGGATTTGTTTTCCCCTTGCGGTAGAGGGAAAAGCTTCCCCTTTGCACAGCACAGGGCTGGCGTCCCCGTGGCCTGGAGCCGGCACGCAGGGGCCGGGGCCAGGAAGGTGCTTGGCTTTGCGTTGCAGATGTGGGAGCGTTCGCCGAAGCCATGCAGAACAGTGCCAGGTCGGAGCAGAAGGAGGGTGACGGGAAGGACAAGAAGGATGAAGAGGAGGACATGAGCTTAGATTAAGTTATTTGCTGTCTTTCGCGGGTGGGGTTCTCGGCTGTGCGGTGAGCAGTGTGTTTGTGGTCTGTCCACACCCGCACACCTGTCCAACTTGCTAGTAAATAAAAGTCTTTTCTTTTACCTGCCAACTCTGGTGTTTCTGTGCCCAGGATTGTGACAGCCCGTCCCGTTCTCTGGACGGGGGCTGGGTCACAAGCTGCCCCTCGGTCTGCAGTGTAGTGACAGGAGAGACCTGGGGAGGCCGGCCACTCGGGCCTCCATGGCTCTGCTCACCTGTCGCCCGCCGTTCTCTTTCGAAATGTAAAGTCAAGTCAGTTAAATAAGCTCCTTTTCTATCTTTGTTTCAAGAGAAGGGGCAGTGATGCCACACACTTCTCACTATTAAAGTTGGTGGAAGGAAAACCTCCTAATTATGAAACATAAAAGGTAATAGAAACCTCATTTTATTGCATTTTATACTTTCATTTAAAAAGTCAGACATATAACTTAAACCATTTCCAGAAACAAGGTCACCCATGAAATCTAGAGTCTAGATAAATCTACACAAACTTCATCTATGAAACTGGCCGAGGGTGGCGTCAGCAAACTGTGGGGTGGGCGCTGAGAGGCAGGACCCTGCCTGCCGTGGGCTCAGTGTGGGGGCCCTGCAGGCCCTCCTCATGGCGAGGGTCCCAGAGGGCCAGCGGTCTATGTGGTGGGGCAGCCGCTGGCCCCCACGGCCCCTTGCACCCCTGCAGAGCGAGGCAGGGTGACAAAGGCCTGGTTCACCATCAGGTTCCTCATGCAGCCACGGTAGGCTGGAGGCCAAGGGTGCCTCAGGGTGCGGGGCCCAGGCTGTGTGTCCGTGGGTTCTGGGGTGCAGGGGAGATGAAGGGAGACATGAGGTGGGGTGACTGCAGGGAGACCCCTGTGCCTGGTCTCCCAGGGGCGTCCCTCCCACCCCTAGGCTAAGGCCACACTCACCAGGCAGGCCCCCTAAATGCAGAGGCGCCGGGGTGCTGGCTGAGGCCCACAGCACAGGACCCAGGGTCTGGTTGCTCCGGGAGTCCACCTCTAGCCGCAGGGCGTTCCCACTTTTGGTCACTGTGGGGCACAGGCTCCTTGGGGCTGGGCTGGGCTGGGAGGAGCCCTCTGCACTGCTGTCCTCCCGAGTCCCTCCCAGGCTCGGCAGAAGCGGGGTGTCAGAGATGGCCCTGGTCATGGGGGAGGGGCCAGCTCACCTGCCAGTCGGTGCCACTGGCCATCACAAAGCGCCTTGGAGAGTGTCACTGACGTGGAGAACTCGCCTGCACCGTCATCTGCCCACAGGAGGACCTGGGGTGGGGGTGGGCATCAGGAGGGCCCTGCCAACCCCAATTCTGCCCCTGGGTCACCGCCACTCGCCGCTTACCTGCTTCCCTAGCACCTGCAGCTGCAGGCGGGGGGGTGCCCGGAGCTGGCCCAGGTGGAGGATGAGGCCTGTGGCCGCCTGGGGCCGCACCTCCAGCTTCAGGCTCACATCGGGCAGGGTGGACCCCAGGGTGTCTGCGGGGAGGGGCTGTGAGGGGAGGGGGGCACGCCCCAGGCCCTGCTTCCCGGGCAGGGCTCCCACCCCACCCAGCCCAGGCACGTTCGGGCAGTAGGGGACAGTGGACACACCTAGAGTGACGGCTCCCCTGCTGCTGGCAAAGAACAGGCCCGCCTCCAGGGGTTCTGAGAAGCAGGGCGTGACCCCCACCATTCGGTTGGGGGTGCTCAAGGGCTGCCCGTCCAACGTCAGTCTCCTCACACAGCCACTGAAGGAGTTGCTGCTGATGAACACCTGTGGGGGTGCCATGGGGGGCATGAGGTCCGGTCCCAGGGCTGGGTGCAGAGGGGGCGCGTGGGGTCTGGTCCCAGGCTGGGGATCAGGGAGGGGAGGTTGGGTGGGGAGAGGCAGTTCTCACTGGGAGCTTGGGGCCATTGACAGGAAGACCCCCGAAAAAGACAGTGTAGGGCTGGGGGCCTTCTGTCCTCTGGTTCTGCTGGCCAGGATTCCGGCCAGAGTCTTCCGGGCTCTGGGTCCAGACTTTGTCCACCTCCAGCTGGATCCGAGTCTTCTCCCATCGCACGGACACCTGGGGGTGGGGAGAGGCACGTCAGGGGGACCCAGAGCACCGCCACATCCCTTCTCTTCGGTCCCTCACCTTGTGCCACTGGTCAGCCCTCGAACGCTGCTGGCTCTGGACGCGGAGCTCAGGCCCAGGGCCTAGCGTCTGAGCCACAAAGTATCTGTGGCTCAGGAAGAGTGCCAGGGAGGGGCTGCCAGCCTCCAGGGGCGCAGCGAGGAGCAGGAGCCCCCTTCGGGTGCGCGGGCGGACTACCATCGAGAAGGTGAGCCTGAAAGCCAAGTGGGGCGTCAGCCTGGGCAGCCCCTCCACACCCACCCCCCCTGGCCTGGCCTTACCAGTTCTTAGGGGGTGCTGGGACAACTGTAAACTCCAGGTAACTGGACAGGGGACCCCCAAACTGGTAGGCACCGTGGATGGTCCTGAGGGACCGGGGCAGCGTGCAGGCAGAGTCCTGGGTGGGATGTCGACTGTGCCGGGAGACCTGTGGGGTCAGATGGGGGTGCTTGGGGGCCATCTTCTGCCCACCCCAGCTCTGCCCCCACCCCCTCCCCTGGTGGTGCCCACCTTCCGAGCCATTGCGGCCCGTAGTCCTCGAGGTGTCTGCACTGTTGTTTGAGCAGCAGGGGCCGGGGCACAGCCTGAGCTCACGTTAATGGCGCCCACATTCTGCTGCAGGTCAAACACGCGCTGGGGCCCCAGGAGCCTGTGGAGGGCGGCCAGGAAGTCAGCAGCCGGAGGCCCCTGGATGGCCGTGGTCAGCACAGCCCTCCCAACACCGCCCAACTCACCGCTGCACAAACACGTTGCTGATGCAGCCACTGAAGTTACGGATGGTGCTGGACTCGGGCAGGCCTCCCAGCAGGAGCTGATGGGGCCCCTCGGGCTGGGGCTGGGGCTGCGGCCTGGGCGGCCCCCGGTGGGCCTTCATCTGCTGCAGCTGGTCGTCCACGTAGAGCCAGACCCTGTGAGGACAGCAGTGCTTTCCCACGCGGCCTCCGCCCACCTGCGGCAGGTGTCTCCCAGGCCCTGGCTCTGCAGCCGCCCCCCGCTCCTGGCTCACCCTGTGGTGTTGCTGTAGAAAGCGACGTAATGGGGAGCACCGTCAGCAAAGCCCCCGGGCGTTTTCACCTCAGTCCTCACAAGCCGGAGTGTCACATGGCCCTGCTGCAGGGACACCTCGCAGGGCCCATCCTGGGGACAGGGGTCAGGTCAGCGGACCAAGCCAGGGCCCAGACTTTCTCCCTCCAGCCACACAGGCCCCACACTGCTGCCACAGGTCGGACTGGGGGAGGGCTGGACAGACTTCAGACAGGGAGAGCTGGGCAGGCAGACTTGGGGGGCAGGCGGGCGGTCAAACCAAGGCTGGGTTGGACGCACCGGGGACGCTCTGTGGTACAGCAGACCGCTGTCCTGGGTGCTGCGAAAGCCGAAGCCAGAGTAGACACTGCTGGTGAGGGGCGCGACACCTGGGAGCTCCAGGGGCAGGAAGCCATGGCCGTGGAAAGTCATGGCCCGTCCCACCTACAGGGAGCGAACGTGAGGCCGGCACTGCTGGAGGGGCAGGCGGGCCGCGGCGGGGCGGGGCGGGGCTGCGGTGGGGCGGGGCAGGGCGGGGCCGGGGGCGGGGCGGGGTCGCGGCGGGGCGGGGCAGGGCCGCGGGGGCGGGGGGGCCGCGGCGGGGCGGGGCGGGGCCGCGGCGGGGCTCACCAGCAGGTCCGAGGTGCAGCCAGCGCTGACACCCGTGGTGTTCAGCCGCTTGAGGTCCACGTACTTGCCCAGAGCTTTGATGCCCTTGATGCAGCCGCGCACTGAGCCTCCAGATGGGAAGAGCCGCTGCAGGCTGCAGGGCAAGTGAATGTTGGGGGGCTGGCAGTGAGGGAGGCATGGGCGTGGTGGAGACAGCATGAGGGCCCCTGCCTGCCCTCACCTCGGGGCGCTCACCTCGCTGGCAGCTGATCCAGAGGCACACCCCCTAAGTAGTAAGCGCTGGCCAGCTCCAGCGTGTTCTCCTGATCCACGCTGAACACGGTGGTCCTCTCCACGCGCACGAGCACGCGCTTGCGGCTGTCCCCCAGCAGGAACACCTGGATCTGGACGGCAGGCCGTGGGGTCTTCAGCCTGTGGTGTTCCCACCGGCCGGCCCCGCCCTGCCCCGCCTCGCCCCACCGACCCTCCCGCCGATCTCCGGCTTCAGCCTCACCGCCTTGCTGGCCACGGTCAGGGGCGGAGGGGGCTGCAGCGGGACGGCCTCCTGCAGGCCCGCGCCGAAGTCGTAGAGCAGCACGAGGTGGCCTTTCAGCACGGCCAGGCACAGGAACTGGCTCTGCGGGGCGGCGGGCGGGGTCAGCGCGGGGCGGGGCCAGACGCGGGGGCGGGGCCGGCCGACAGGGCCGCGGGGGCGGGGCCAGCGGACGTGGGTGGGGCCGGATGTGGGGGCGGGGCCAGGGTAGGGCCGGCCGCGGGGGCGGGGCCATTGGACGGGAGTGGGGCCGGCTGCGGGGGCGGGGCCAGGGTAGGGCAGGGCGGTGGGCGGGGCCAGCGGGTGTGGGTGGGGCCGGCCCGGCCGCGGGGCCAGGGTAGGGCCGGCCGCGGGGGTGGGGCCAGCGGGCGGGGGTGGGGCCGGCTGCAGGGGCGGGGCCAGCGGGCCTGCCTCGTGCTGCAGGAAGAAGACGATCCCGTTGTAGGACACCAGCCTCAGCTCCTGTTCGAAGCGCTTGGTGGTGCTGGCTTGTCTCTCCACCCTGATGCGGGCAAAGCCCGTGCCCTCCAGGTAGGAGCCGTCTGTGAGCCATGGGTCTCCGGTCGACTTGGAGCTGCAGGTCAGAGGTCGCGGGGTCAGTGGAGGGTGGGCCTAGGGCTGGGGGGACGGGCCCCAGGCCGCACCTACCGCGCACACGGCTTGTCCACCGCAGTGTTGATATGGAAGATCTTCTCGAAGTTGTAGAGACTGATCACCTCCTGGTTGAGTGTGTCCATCTCAATGCAGCCCCGGTAGCGGGGGAAGCGGAGGGGTTCCGGGGGCTGTGGGCACAGCACATGGTCAGGGTGCCTCCCACGCCAGACAGACCCAAGAGGAGGGGCTCTGCCTGCAGGCGGCCAGCGGAAGCCGGACACCCAGCAGGAGCTGCCGGAAGGAGAGCACCAGGGATGGCCCTGGGCCAAGCCTGCCAGGCTCACCATGAAGTTGCTGGGGTAACCCCCGACATAGAAGACAAAGTTGTCGGGCTTCAGGTTGAGCAGTCCCTCGGCCCCAGGGGCCACGGTGTCGCCCTTGGTCTCATGGATCATCTGCTTCTCCACCGTGACAGACATGTGGCCGAACTGGAGGGTCCTGAGGGCAGAGCGAAGGGGTGTGGAGCGGACATGCCACCCGGCCAGGGGGTGGGGGAAGCATGCGGAGGGCAGGCCTCCCACCTGTCAATGCTGATGGCTGCAAACTGCTCCCCGATGTTCTCATCGATGCTGAGTTTTGCGGGGCCCGCACCCCCCAGGCGGTACACCCAGTGCACTGTCTGGTTACGCAGAGCTACGCCCATGTAGTCGCCAGTGGCCTGTGGTGGTACAAGACTCCGTGGGACAGGGACCCAGCCTGGCCCACCCGCTCCAACCTGATGCCCGTCTCTGCCCAGCCCGCCAAGCTAGCCTCTGTACCTGGCGGCTGCCCATGTAAAGCACAAATTGATCCTCGGGGACCTGGTCAGACGCTGGCTCTGGGCTCTGGAGGTAGAACTTGAGGGCGGTGTAGGCAGCGAGGTCAGTGAGGTCCCGAGGGGCACGCAGCTGCACCCCCGAGCGTCCGTTGAACTTCATGGACACCTTGACCTGTGTGAAGGGTGCACGGCCCATCAGCCTCCACCACTCGGTCTCCCAGACGCGCCCCCCCCCTTTCCCTGGCACTTGCGCCCACCTTGCTGGCGGCTCCTCGGGCCTGGGCAATGAGCTCCCGCACACGGCCGATGCTGGCGGACAGGGCCAGGCTGGCATTGTGCGCCCCCCGGTTCTCCAGGAGGCTGAGCTTGGCCAGCAGTTGCGGCAGCGTCTTCTCCAAAGTAGACACTGCAGGGGGAGCGAGGGCAGGGCGGCCCTGAGCGCCTTGCCTCCTCGCCCCGGGCCCGCCTGCTCCCGGGGGTGCTGTGTGCGTGGGGGCCCACCTGAGTGGCCTGCATCGAGCACCGCTTGGCCCACGTCCTGGTTCTTCAGGCCCCCGTACTGGCCCTGCCACTGCTCCAGGTTCTTCTGCAGGGTCCGAACCATGGACTGCACACGGGCAGCGGTGTCCAGCGCTTCGTTGGCCACAGCCTTGGCGTGAGCGATCTTCTTGCTTGTCTCATCTGTGGCAGGCAGTGGGCAGGCCCCGCGGGCTTCAGCAAAGACCCCCTGGCCTCACCTCCCATCGGGGAGACCAAGTCTCCCCCACTACGACTAGCAACAGGGATGCTGAGAACATGGAAACCCGCCCTCCACCCCCACTCAGATGGCTCCTCCCGGGCCGGCCTCTGGAACCAGAGCAGAGTCACCTGATGCCTCAGCTCAGCCCTGTCTCCCCACAGCCACCAGGGCCACCCCGCGCTACCATCCTGTCTCCTGTGGCCCCACCGAAGTCCCTGCGTCCCCTCGGCCATGCTCGCGGTGACGTCCTGCTCTGGGGCGGGCACCCCAGGGATGCCTCCCAACCTGGGTCCGACCCCTTGCTCCTCTGCTCCGAGCCCCTTGGGTTCTCTCAGCCACCCCAGGGCCCCCACCTCGCCCTCGGCTGCTGCCACACCCGTTCCCTCGTACCCACGTCCACTGCCCTGCTTTCCTACGGACTACCCTCCCCCGGCCGCCAGGGTCCCGACAGCACACCCCCACGCCCTGCGTATTTCTCCCTAAGCGCTCCCCGTCCCGTCCTTTGCTGCTTGGGTCTGTTTAGTTAGGTGTTTGCCTCCCGACCAGAGGCAGGTCCTCAGGGCCAGGTCGCCCACTTCAGAATTCCCCGTGGCTGCCCTGGTTGCCATTTTGGACAGTGCATGTGTGGACAGGTGCCCCATCAGAGCCCTACTGGACGGTGCTGGCTGGAGCGACACTTGTGCAGGGAGGGGGCTCAACCTACCCGTGTCCATAGCCAGCATGGCCTGCACGTCCTGGACCCGGGCTGCCAGCTGCTCCTTCTTGGCCCGGGCATCACGGAGCTGGGTCCCGGTGCCCTGGAGGGTGGCCCACACTACGGGGGAGGCAGCCTCAGCACCAAGGAGCCCCCGCCCCCAGGGTCCAGTGCAGCCCACTCTGGCCCTCCTGACCAGGCTGGACCAAGGCTGACAGGTGGACACGAGGGCCCTTGGCTCAGGAGGAGGCGCCAGAGTCGGGGCCACCTCCTGGTCCCACAGCAAAATGTAATCCTCCCCATTTTGTGGATGAAACCACAGAGGCTCAAAAACCCGAGCCATTGCCCACGGCTCTAGCAACAGGGGACCCTCCCGACTCCCCCCTGCCCTTTCTCACAGGACAGCCACGCACATAGCCGTCCAGCCAGGACAGCAGGGAGAACCGTCAGCTGGTCCTCTGACCTGGGCACCTCCACAGCCCCGGGCTCCTCACAAGCCAGGCTGGGCAGTGGGCCTGTGCAGGGCGCCCAGGGGTGGACATGCCACCCAGTGAGGAGCAGGTTCCCGCACAGGGCAGCCGCCACGCGTGTGCCCAGAGGCCGAGGGTCCCTGCACCGACCCCGCACTCACCGCGGCCCAGCCTCTGCTGCTCCCCGAGAACGGCCTCCTCCAGGGCGCTGCTGTTGGCCCGCAGTCCCCGGGCGCGGGGGGCCAGGCCCTGCTGTACCACCATCTGCAGACATGGGACAGGACCCTTCGCACCCAGCTGGTGGCAGCCAGAGGGCAGGGGCACAGGGACGGGCGGGGCAGAGCCTCACCGTCCACGTGTGGCCTGCCTGCTGCAGGGCCTGGCCAGCAGCGCCCTCGGCGGCCTGCACGGCTCTCAGGATGCTGCTGTAGGCGTTGGCCGCCTCGATAGCCCGCTGGATGAAGCGGTCCTGGTTGACTCCGCGGATGATGCTGAGGAGGGAGGTGGGCAGGGTCCAAGGCGGTGTGGGTAGGGGGCCCAGTTACCCTCAGGCCGGCACCTGGGCCTCCCACCATCACAGCGCTGGGCCTTCACTGTCCCGTGAAGACAGTGGCTTCTCCCTCTAGGACCTGCCAGACCAACTGTGACCCCTCCTCCCCTGGCAGGACCTGGCTGTCCTGAGGGCACCCCTCGTTGAGCCCTGCACCTGGAGAGGTTGTGTGCCAGCTGGTCCAGCCGCCACGCGTGGGCCTCAGCAGCCTCCACCAGGTCCACCTTGCCACTAGCGGGGGAGAAGGCTCGAATCTTCTCCAGCAGCGGTGTCCAGGCCCCGTCCAGGCTGGCAGCCAGGTGCTCATACTCCTGGGGGGGAGGGGCTTGGTGGGACCCTCGTCCCCACCCCCTACTCAACGCCCTCATCTGGGACCCCAGGGGCCACGTCCTGCATGCAGTTGCATCCGACCCCACCGGGTGCAGCCTGGGAGGCAGTGCTCACCTCCTTGGCTCGGTCCATGCCGTGCAGCAGCTCAGAGACCCGGGCCAGGGTATCTCTGGCGGCCTGCAGAGTGTCCCTCAGAGTGGCGCTGTCGCGGGGCAGCTCCTGCTTCCGATGCTGGAGGGGCGAGGGGTGGGCAGGTGGCAGACAGAGATGTGATGGGGCGAGGGGTGGGCAGGTGACAGACAGAGATGTGATGGGGCGAGGGGTGGGCAGGTGACAGACAGAGATGTGATGGGGCGAGGGGTGGGCAGGTGGGGTGAGGGGTGGGCAGGTGACAGACAGAGATGTGATGGGGCGAGGGGTGGGCAGGTGGGGCGAGGGGTGGGCAGGTGACAGACAGAGATGTGATGGGGCGAGGGGTGGGCAGGTGACAGACAGAGATGTGATGGGGCGAGGGGTGGGCAGGTGGGGTGAGGGGTGGGCAGGTGACAGACAGAGATGTGATGGGGCGAGGGGTGGATAGTCGGGGCGAGGGGTGGGCAGGTGACAGACACAGAGATGTGATGGGGCGAGGGGTGGGTAGTCGGGGTGAGGGGTGGGCAGATGGGGCGAGGGGTGGATAGTTGGGGTGAGGGGTGGGCAGATGGGGCGAGGGATGGATAGTCGGGGTGAGGGGTGGGCAGATGGGGCGAGGGATGGATAGTCGGGGTGAGGGGTGGGCAGGTGGGGCGAGGGGTGGGCAGATGGGGTGAGGGGTGGGCAGGTGGGGCGAGGGGTGGGCAGGTGGGGTGAGGGGTGGGCAGGTGGAGTGAGGGGTGAACGGGGTGACTGGGTAGGTGGGGTTGTAGAGAAGGGAGGGTGTGGGGGAGGGGAAAGGAAAGGTTGGGGGGCAGCCCTCACCAGCGCCTCCTCCAGACGCTCCAGGTTGCGGCTGTTGAGCTCCTCAGCCTCCCGCGTGGTGCCCACCGCCCGGTTCAGGGCCTCTCGCAGGTCCATGAGGCCGGCCTCGTGCTGGGCCAGCTGGTCTCGGGTGCGGGCGGCCAGCGCTTGGTTCCCCTCCCAGCGGCTGGTCAGCTGCTCCTGCACGCGGGCCAGCACTGGCAAAGACCCCGTAAGGAGACGGTCACTTGGGCAGTGACTCCTGCTGGCCGTCAGACTGCTCCATGCTGACCTCGGCCCTCCCCACCCTGCCCTGCTGGCCAACACCACTCACGTCTCTGGGCCTGGTCCAGCTCCGCCTCCGCCACTGCCCGCGGGGCCCCCAGGTCGCGGGCCCGCATTTCCCTGAGCAGCCGGTCCACCTTGGCCAGTGTCCGGCGCAGCTGCTCACCCGACGGGGCCGAGGTGTTCTCTGGCGCCAGGCGGTCTGTCATGAGCCCTGAGGGTTGGAGGGGCCGTCAAGCTGGGGGAGGACCTCAGCCCACTAGCTCAGGCCCAGGACTCCTGCTGAGCATCCCCACAGAGCCTGGCCCCCTCGCCCACACCCCTCACCTCCACAGCCGCCCACTCCTCGGCCCTGGGCCAACCCCCTCCTGTCTCGTGCTCAGCTGAAAGTTCACCTCTTCCCAAACTCTTGGGTTGGAGTGGGTCCCCTCTGAGCTCTTCCCGATGACACCTTTCAGTTCGTAACTAAGGTGCTCACCAGGGAGTTTTCCCAGGGAGACAGATGCCCGAGAGGGGTGCCCTGGAGGGGGAGCCCTGGCCCATCTTGCAGGTTCCGCCCTCACTCTGGCCACACCCACTTCCCACCTCCCTCCTCTGCCCTGCTGTGTACTTGGTGAGGCACCATCTCCCCACAGAAGCATCCAGAACCTGTCAGTTCTTCAAGGCCAAACCCCGTTCTGAGCCTTGAGCATCATTCTGTGCACGCCCTGCCCCCGCCCACCTGGGCCAGTCCCTACCCCTCAGGGTTTGGTCCAGAGCCTGGATGGCCTTCAGCAGTGTCTGTGCCTGGCCCAGTGTGGCCTCCGTGCTGTCCAGCAGCTGGCCAGTCCGGACTCGGGCCCCCGTGGCCTGTGGACACAGAACCCCCATCAGCCCACAGCCTCTGCTGGCTGGAGGGTGTGAGGAAGCGCTGGGGGCCTGGGCAGTGGCCTGGGGCCTGACTGGAGGATCAAGAGGGACAATGGGTGGTTCGGGGCTGGGAGAAAGGGGCCTATGGGAGGTCCCTGGGGGTGTCGGGGTCCTGCCTGGCTGTCCAGCCGCTGCGTGTCCTGCCCGAGGCTCGTGCTCTGTCTCTCCAGTGACTCCAGCTGCTGCGAGGTCTCGTGGGGGCCTGCCGAGCTCCGGAGCTGGCTCTGCAGGGAGGGGACAGTGAGCGCCTGCACCCTGGGAGGGAGAGGCCGGGGGCCGCCGCTCATACCTGCAGGTCAGCGATGGAGGCGTTCAGCCTGTGCAGCCGGGCCCAGGCCACGGTGCTGGTGTTCACGCCATGCAGCTGCTCACGGATGGCGGGGAGGAGGGCGCCCATCCGCTCCAGGTCATCCAGGAGCAGGACCACGCAGTGGTCACACACTGCGGGCAGTCGGGCGGGTCAGTGCAGGGTGTGGGGTTGTGGTGGGGCCAGGGAGGGAGTCACGGGGTCCGCATGGTGGGGATGGGTCAGCCGGGGTCATGGGGATACTGAGCTGGGCTAAGGTGACAAGGTTGGCGAGGGTCAGAGGTCAGCATGGGGGGTTTCCGAGGATCAACATAAGGACAGGTGTGGGGTCCCTCGGAAAGTTGAGGAGGAGAGCTGGGGCCACAGAACGACTCCCCAAGCTGCGGTTAACACTGGGGTCACTAGGTCAGTGCAAGGGCGAGACAGGTGTGGTCGGGGCTGGACGCGTGCAGGGACGCACCTTCGCAGTGCACACCTCGGCTGCCCGGGTCCCCAGGCAGCAGCACCTGGTGGTGGCCGCAGCGGTCGCAGCGCTCGCCGCTGAGCCCAGGGGGGCAGGTGCACTGGCCCGTGTGCACGTCACAGTGGCCCTCCTGACACTGGCAGCCTGGGCGGGCGGGTGAGATGCGCTGAGTGGCCGCAAAGGGCCCCTGGGTGCTTGCCACCCTGAGGTGCCCCCTCCCGTGGTGTCCTGCCCTCCACACTCACGCCTGCAGCCCTGCTCCGGGAGCCCCCAGTGGCCAGGGGCACACTCTCGGCACTGGGGCCCTGCCGCCCCCGGCTGGCAGTAGCACTGTCCACTCTGGGGGTGGCACTCGGAGCCCTTGGAGGCTGGTCCACAGGCACACGGGCGGCAACCCATGCACCCTTCGAAGCCGAAGTGTCCTTCCTGCGGGCACAGGTGTGGTCACAGCTCTGCCCAGCCCTCAAGACCCGGCTTCCTCCAATCTTTCCACGGCCAGTTTCCAGTTTCCACTCTTCACACCCACACCCCGCCCCTCCGGCCCTGAGACCCCGCCCCTGTGGCCAAGGCCCCCCGCCCCTCCGACCCGACCCCTGTGGCCAAGGCCCCGCCCCTCCAGCCCTGAGACCCCACCCCTGTGCACCAAGGCCCCACCTTCCAGCCCTGAGACCCCACCCCTGTGGCCAAGGCCCCGCCCCCAGCCCTCCTGTGCACAAGGCCCCACCCCTCCAGCCCTGAGACCCCGCCCCTGTGGCCAAGGCCCCGCCCCCAGCCCTGAGGCCCAGCCCCTCCAGCCCCAGGACCCACCCTGCACACCAGGCCCTGCCGCTCCCAGGCAGCCCACCTGACAGCGGTCGCAGCGAGGTCCCGTCACGCCAGCCTTGCACAGGCAGCGCCCGCTGTGGGGGTCGCAGGCCTCTGTCCCACACGGGGAGCAGTCACACCCTGTGGAAGGTGGGGCTGTACCAGTGGCCCTCCCCTAACCCATCCTCTTCCCCCCACCGATGCTTGGTGAGCTCCTGTTTCCCCAACTCTCCACCTGCCCCCAAGGAGACCCCTGACCCCTCACTTTTTACCACCTCCATCCCAGGCCAATCGGCTGCCAGCACCTCCTGCTCGGACCCCAGCTTCCCACTCACGGTCCACTGCCCTCCCCTGCAGCCTGGGCCCAGCCAGGGGTCAGTCCCTGCCCTCTTCTTGCTGGGCCCAGACCGGGACCCCCAGCCCCCCCAGCAGGCTGCCCCTCCCGGGGGCCTACGGGTGCAGTTGCCGGGCAGCAGGGCGTTGCCATAGAAGCCGGGGGCACAGGTCTCGCAGTGGGGCCCGGCGGTGTGGCGCAGGCAGCTGCGGCAGGCGCCCGTCAGGGGGTCGCAGTCACTGAAGAGCATGTTGGGGTCCCCGTTGCCGCTGCAGTCGCAGGGTTGGCACGAGCTGCCCAGCACCATCGGGTTCCCGAAGAAGCCGGGGGCGCACCTGGGAGAGGGCGGGGTCAGCGGCCCGCGCGCCTGCGCTGGAGAAGCCCCCGCCCACGTCGCAGCCCACTGCCCGCCGCCCCAGGCTCACCGCTCACAGGAGGCGCCTGCGTAGCCGGGTTTGCAGAGACACTGGGTGCGGCCCCCTGGAAAGACGCAGCCCACCGCGAAGCTGCAAAAGCGGAGGCGGCTGTCACATACCTGCACACCCTGCGTGGGCACCTGTGTACCCAACTGGGCCAGACTCCAGGAGTCGGGGGGCCCGCCTCAGGGGCCCACCCGGCTGCCCTGACCCTCCCCGAGGTCAGTGCGGATGCAACCAGCTTACTTGTTGGACGGCACAGAGACCGGGCAGGGGCAGCTGACGCAGGGGGCTGCGGGGTCCTCGGACCCCATGCGCACGAAGCCGGCCTGGCAGCGCTCACAGCGGTCGCCCTCGGTGTTGTGCTGGCAATCCTGCCGACGGGACAGGGCAGCCCTGACGGTGGAGGCCCGTCTGCCCCCTCAGCCCCACCAGGGACCGCCCAGGGCACCTCCCCAGACCCCAGCACACTCGTAACCACTGACCCACAGGTCCCTCAATGCCTTTGGCGGCCGCCCGCCCTCTGCCCGTCCCCACTCACCACACAGGAGCCCAGGCCAGGGGTGCAGAGGTCTGAGTGGCCGTAGCACTGACAGGGGACGCAGCGACCCAAAAAGAGACCTTTGATGTCCCGGTAGTAACCAGGGGCACATTCCTGGGGGGCGGGGGTTAGTGATCAGAAGAGGAGGCAGGTCAGGCCCCACTGGGGGGCAGACCAGGGACCACTCAGGTCAGCTCAGACAGTCCAGCAGGTACATGGGCAGTGAATGGACCGAGGGCTGGCAGGGGCACAGGGTGGCAGCAGACAGGTGAGCAAGCGCTGGCTCAGCCTGAGGGGCAAGGTCGGTCTGCTGGGAGGACGCCACCCCGTGGGCGGGAGAGAGGGGGTGAGCCCAATGGGGTGGAAGGTAAAAGTGGAGCTGGGGGCGGAGGGTGTGCAGGGGCAGGGCAGACAGACAGTGGCCCCCCTGGAGCCTGCCCCTCCCCCCTCACCTGGCAGGAGTCCCCCAGGTAGTTGGCAGGGCACATGCACAGCTCCACATTGCTGGCCGGAGGCCCGCTGCCCATCTTGCTGGCCACCTCCAGCGCCACCCTGCGCAGGGAGACGGCCGTGGAGAACTTGGAGAAGGGGCTGCGAATCTGCAGCTGCTGCAGGCCGGCCAGCACCATCATCAGCTCCTCCCGGGACACGGGGCTGTGGGTCTCCGCGTGCCGGAAGTTACCCTGCGGGGCCACCACAGGTCCTCAGCGGGCAGGACAGGCGCCAGAGCAGACCCTCCCGCGGGGGGGGGGGGGCACTCAGGTCCCAGGGGGCAGGAGGGGGCACTCGGAGCCAGAACGACCGTCACACAGGAAGCAGCACCCGGACCCCTGCCTCACACCGTGCGCAGAAACCAATTCCGGGCGCGTCAAGATTTCAAACGTACAAAGAGTAAGTTTTCGGGAAAAAGCGTACGTGAGTACTTTCCGATCTGAGAGACAAATACTTTCTCAAAGGAGACGTGAAAACACTAACTGCAAGTGAAAAAATTCTTAAATCTGAACTCGTAAGATGTAAGCGCTGTTCATCGGAGACGTGAGAGAGAGACAGGGAGGAGGCAGCGCGTCCCCCGGGCCGGGCATGACACAGACCTCCTCTGAAGTGACAGACGACAAGCAGAGAGACGGGGGAAGGACACACACACAGGCAGGTCACCGCGGGAGCCCAGGGCCCAGCAACCAGAAGGGCAGGGCAAGGCGAGTGTGGGACGAGCCTGGGCCTGCTCCTGGACCGTTCTCCAACCTGAGTGGGCACAGCCTCTGGACCCCTCTGGCCTTTCCTGGGTCGCGCCGGGGTCCAGCTCACTCACCTCCACCAGCTGCAGCTGCCCGTGGTGTGTGTGGCCCGGCTCCGGGTGCACGGGCTCCAGGAACATGATGCTCATCTGGTTGCCCTAGGGGCAGGCAGGAGCGTGGTCAGGGCTGCCCGCTGCCCCGGCTCAGCCATGCCCGCCGCCCACCCTGCTGGGACCACCCCGCGGCCACCTGCAGCAGCACGTCTGGCCTGCTCTCCACGGGGGTGAACACGTCTCCCCGCTGGCTCTCCGAGTGTAGTTCGTAACGGAGGGTCCCCCCGTAGGACGACACCTGAAGAGCAGACAGGAATCTGACCTGTCCGTGGGCCCAGGGTCTCCCACGGTGGTCTTGAGGCTGGGCCTGAGCATGCTTATGGAGCCCCCAAGCCTCCCAGGACGTGGGCGCCCTCCCGGGGCGGTGTGCCTGCTCACCCGGTCCCCCAGGTAGGAGGGTGGCGCCTGCCAGTACAGCTCGGGAAAGGCCTCGGGGACCTGCTGCAGGTTGGCATGGAGCAGCTCCGCCTCCGCTTGCAGCTTGTGGGGCACCACCTGCCGGTCACTGCTCAGCAGCGTCCAGCCCTCCATGTCCACAAACTGCGGGCACATGGGCGGGACACCTGGTGAGCACCCCCGAATGTCACAGGGCCCACCCTGCACAGCAGACTCCGCTGGTCAGGGAGTGACGTGCCCTCCGGAGGCCCTGCCCACGCACCTCCTGGCGGGTGTGGATGGAGCTCCCACAGCGCTCCGTCGCCCCGAAACAGAAGCAGCGGGTGCAGCCTTTGGGGTTGGCGGCGTCCAGAGAGAAGGTCCCAAGGCGGCACTGGTCACATCTGGGGCCCTGAACGTTCTCCTGGGAGCGGGAGCAGGAGGTCAAGGTGAGGGAACTGGCTAGCTGTTTGCGGGTCCTCGGCCACTCTGGCCCACTGCCGTCCGCTCGCCAATGGGGACACTAGCCCCTGTCCCCGAGGCTGACCTGCAGCGGGTGATCAGGACAAGGGCCAGGCGGGCACAGGCCCCGGCCGCCCGGCCCTTACCTTGCAGTGACACTGGCCCGTGAGGGGGTCACACACGCTGGGCGCAGAGCCGGCGGGGTGGCAGTCACAGGGGCGGCAGCTGGGGTAGCCGTAGAAGCCAGGAGCACAGGCGTCACAGCGGCGCCCAGCCACGTGGGGTCTGCACCTGCCGAGGTGGTTCCGGAGCTGACTGGCCACCCTCCACCTGGACCCCTCACACTGAAGTGAGAGGCAGGCGCCCCCTGCCCCCAGAGCTGAAGGAGGGGCCCTCTGGACCCAAGGAGCAGGCATGGAGGGAGTGCGAGCTCGGGGCGCTCGGGGCCCCCACCCGATGGTCACGCAGCACCTGCCGGCTCGCACCTGCACTGGCCGCTGTCCTTGTCACAGGTGGGGTCCTCGAGCTCCAACACGCCGGGCCCGGAGCAGTTACACTCCTCACAGCCGACCAGGGGGTGGCAGCCGAAGGTCTGGGGCTGGCAGACGATGCAGTCGGGAAGGACGGTGCGCGGTGGGCAAATGCAGTGGCCCGTCAGCTCGTCACACAGGCGGCCGTTACAGTCGCAGGCTGTGGGGCGCGCGCAGGGCTGGTGGGCCCTCTGCCCGCTCGGAGACCGGGGACCCCCTCACCCTGCCCGGCCCAGTTCCAGAGCTCAGGCCTGAGCCTCGGTCAGCTGGTCTGACGAGGTGTTGGCCGCCCAGGACCACCGTCTGGCCAACCCTGCAAGGCCAGAAGCTGCCCGAGGTACCACCGATGGGAGGTGGTTGGACTGGTCTGCCAGGCTGTGGGGTGTTCTCCTGACCAAGGCCGCACCTCCTGGTGGGCCCCTCTACCAGGCAGCCCCCACGTTCAGGCACAGCCCCGCGAGCCGGGGGCGCAGGTACTCACGTCTGCAGCTGGGGAAGCCCCAGTAGCCGGTGGCGCAGCGGGAGCAGTCTCGGCCGATGACGTGGGCCCGGCAGGGACACTGGCCCCCAAAGGGCTCACAGGTGGGGCCGGTGGCACCCACTTCGTGGCAGCCGCACGGCCAAGCCCCGTTGTTGTAGAACAGGGACAGGGAGGTGGCAGCATCCCGGCAGAACTGGGAGGAGCTGGTGGCGCTGGGGTGAGGGGCAGGCGGTGAGGCCATCGCCCTGCCAGACCCTGCCCTGCCCCACCCCCACCCCCGCCCTGAGCCCAGCCCACCTGATGTGGTAGCCATGGGAGGCGCACTGGTTGATGAAGTCATAGGACTTGTCCAGGGGCTCCTCCCGGAGGTAGCTGGGGCTGTAGGTGTCCTCAGGGACCACCAGCACATACTCCTAGGGCACCAGGGTCTGGTCACCTCCCAGGGGCCCGCCGGGTCAGGGGAGTGTGGCAGAGCCTGCCGGCTGAGCGCACCTCCAGGGGGGTCGCTGCGACTGGCCGTGGTGGGGCCGGGCAGCTAAGACAGTGGTGGCATCACCCTGACCCTGGGACCCGGCCAGGCTGGCCGGTACTGGGCCCTCGCCTGGGCTGCTCGGCGGGAGGCCAGCCTCCACGGCCTGACGGAAGCTCGGGGAGGGTAAGCGGCAGCACCCACGACAAGGCACCCGGCCTCCCAGGGCCCCTCCCTCTCTACCCGTCCAGGTCCCGCCTCCTCCAGGAAGACCACTCTGACCAGCAGGGCCCTAGGGCATCGTTTTAGCTCTTGGACCCCCGCTGGAGTCTTACTGATGGACCTGCTTCTGGCACCTGGCACGGGCTGGGCGTGGCAGGCAGGACCCACGCCACGGCTGAGTGGCCCATGGCGGTGTGAAGGTGTGGGGACGGCAGGTCCCTGAGCATGCTCGGGGAGTCCACACCAGGGACACCAGCCTCAGGACTCACCAGCCAGAACCACCGGCCCTCGGGCACACGCACAGTCACAGTGAGCTCGCTGTCGGTCACGTCCAGGATGGCCTGGCCCTCACACACCACCAGGATGCGGCAGCCGTAGCCGTGTGGGCAGAAGGTGGCATTGGCGTGGCCTGGAGGGGGAGAAAGGGCAGATCAGCCCCAAGGCCCCTCCTGACCAGGGCAAACCTCGCATCACCAGGGAGAAGGGGCTCGGCCCTCACTCTCTGAACCGGCCATGACCCCTGGGCCCGGCCAATGACGTGGAAACACAATGGATGAACACGTAGGCACACGTGCCACCGACTAGCATCCCAGTGAACCCTCGATTCCCGTGTGTGACAGATGGGTGACCCCTGATTTGTGAAACAGACGTGAGGAGCAGAGTCTGGGAAGGGGGCTGGGAGGCAGGGTTGCTGACACTGGGCACTGGCTGGGCCCTAGGGCACCTCATTTGAGAACTGACCACAGGAGGCGGTATGTGGACCTGTCACTCAGCCAGGTGACAGGCACTGTGCCATGGGCCACGGGAGCCACGGGATCATCTGGTCACGTGTGGTGACCCCGCGACAGGACCGTGTGGATCAGAGACCCCGACGGGTCCCGGTCCAGGGCTCTGCCCCCCGCTGCTGCAGCGCGTACCCTGCCAGATGCGGCCCCCGTTGATGAGCACTTCCACGGAGAAGGTGGGGTGGGCCGGCTGGTAGCCGTGCAGCAGGAAGGCGTAGCGGCCCAGGGCGGGCACCTGGGTGGCAAACACCACCGTTCCCTGCGGGGGAGGCTCCGTGAGCGGGCAGAGGGGGTGGGCGCCAGGGCCCGGTGAGTCCCGCCTTGCCCACACCCCGGCCGCGGGCCTGGGCCTTCACCTGGGGGTGTCGCAGCAAGGTGGGCTCGGCGTCGGGGTCCACAGCAGTGGGGGGCCGTGGCTGGGGCCCAGTGGGGGGCGCCCCTGGCGTGAGCTCCTGCGAGCGGGTCAGCGGGAGCTCGGGGGGCAGCGGCAGCACCTGGCAGTCCCTGAGGATGGTGGGCTGGGGCGGCTTCGGGAAGCGGGAGGGCAGGCAGGCGGCACTAGGGGGAGCGTAGGGGTGAGCCCCGGCCTAGCCCGTGTGCCCTCCCGGCCGCTCAGCCCCTGGGGACCCTCTGCCCCCCAGCCCCACCTGCTGGGGCTGAAGGCCCCGTGGCTGCTGACACAGCGGACCCGGGGCTCCAGGAACTCCAGGCTGAACGTCTCCACGGGCACCAGGGTGACACTGTGCTGTGGGCAGAGACCAGGTGTGGACATGGAGGTGCAGGCGGAGCCCGTCCACACTGCGTCCAACCCGAGTCCTGCTCTTGGCACCTAGTCCCTGCCTGGCCCCCCGACCCCTCCCCTGGGGGCACAACCCCCGCCGAGTGCAGCTTCTGGGGCCTGGGGCACCTCCCAGCTATCTCCAAGGCCGGTCCCCTCGGCCAGCTGCCCCACTGCCATCTGCAGGGTGATCGCCTGCCCCCCAGCTCCGGGTGGGTTCACAGACATCTTTCTGCCCCGGGACGTCCACCCATCGAAAGTGCACACGTGACAAATGAGACCGAATCGGCACCTCGAAGCAGGGACAAGGAGCACGCATGACCGCAGCCACACTCGTCCCTGCCACGGGCTCGTGTGATTTGTTCCGGAAAGTTCCAGAACGGGCAGAGCCAGGGTGCGGCCAGTGTGGGGAGTGGCTGCCCTGGGGGCCCACAGGGCATCTTGTGCCGTCTGGTGCTGTCCCGTGTACATGGAAAAGCTCTGTGCAAAGTCGGACACGACCTAGTCCACGTCCACGGAGCTGGGAAGCCCACGGGGCCTCCGCACAGACAGACAGGGACAGGCACCCCAACTGGCAAAGTGGGACGAGCACCCCGACACGGGGCACGGCTCCCTCCTCAGTGTGGCCAGTCTCTCACCAGTGCCGGACGCTTTTATAAAAATCGGTATGTCGCTCTCAACTTCCTAGGGGCCCAGGGGCGTGGACGCACAGGGCCGTGCGTGACTGCGGAGGGCAGACGCCACCCACTCGGTCGTGTGCGGAACAAGCCCTGTGCTTGGTTCTGGGCCCGAGGTGGTGATTGAGGTTGAGTGTTCAGTGACTACAGCTCAACCACGAGTTCATCAGCCCTGTGGGGCTCACATGGCCACAATGCTGTTGAATCTAAGCTTCGGCACCCCCCGTGCACGGACCCTTCCCAACCCCAGGGAGGGCCCTGCTCACACTGCGATACGCTTTAGTAAAATATATCCCAGAATGGGCTTTTGTTCCAGACACTGTCCCCTGCCACTCCTCCAGCACACCACACTTCCTCTGGGGGGGCCGCGGCACGGCTGGCAGACACGTTTCGTGCCCACAGGAAAAACCCTGCAGGTGGGGGGTTCCAGAAAAACCCAGGCAGGGCACGAGCGAGGAGGCACTGGGGGCGGGTCCCTGGGCTCGTTACACTCTTCTCTCTACCTTTTTTTTTTATTAATCCTCACCTGAGAATATTTTTTCCACTGAATTTTAAAAAGAGTGGAAGGGAGGGAGGAAAGGGGAGAGAGAGAGAATCAATAGTTGCCTCCCGCATGCGCCCCAACTGGAACCGGGGATTGAACCTGCAACCCAGGTACATGCCCTTGACCGGGAATCGAACCTGTGACCCTGTGGGATGCGGGCCAACACTCTAACCACTGAGCAACACCAGCCAGGGCTCTTCTCTTTGTATACGGGTTTAAAATCGGAAAGATCTCAGGCCATGGGAGGTCCTGGGGGCTTACCAGGAAGAAGTGTGCCCGCTGGGCAGAGAGCCGGACGCTGGCCTCTGTGCCCAGGTGGAAGACTGCCAGGTGGTGCTGGTCATCTAGAGCGGCGCACCGGCAGAGGGTGCTGGGGATGGGCAGGGCAGTCAGCAGGGACAGCCCTGGGGCCCAACCCTCCCCCCAGCCCCTGGCCTGAGCCCTCCCACCCGGAGTACCTGTACATGCAAGGGTGCAGAGTGAGCGCCCCCTGCTGGGGGAGGTGCTGGGGGGTGTGCACAGCCACACCCAGCTCCTGGCGGGCCTTCTCATTAGCGTACTCCACCACCAGGGCGTAGCGGCCTGGCCTGGGCACTGCCACCTGCAGCTGGACATCCACCTGGGGGCACAGGGCAGTCAGAGGCCTGCCCCAGCTCCCGCCTGAGCACAGGACCCCACACGCTCTGTGGACACGCCTGGACACTGCCTTTCCTCGCCCCTGACGCCCCGGGCCCTCCAGGACCTGCAGCCGCTCAGCTTTCTGACCTCTGCTCACTGGGAGCCCTCCGCCCACGGCCTGCTGAGCACAGCGCTCCGAGGTCCAGCCTGAGCTTCAGAGTGAACGAGCGACCCGCCACCCTCACGGCGAGCCGAGGGGCTGGGGCTGGGATGAGGCCCGGAGGGTGTCCTGACTTCCCAGGTTAACCCTTGGCCTGGCCTGCGTCCTCCGGCCCTGCGCCTGGGTCCTGTCACTGCAACATGGACCCGTCCCCAGGTGTGACTGCGCCTGCCACTCCCTGCGGTCCTGGGACACGCACGTCATTGCCCTGGCAGATGACCAGCTGTGGATGCGAGGGACTGAGCTGCTCCCTGGGGCAGGGCCGGGGGAGGCTGTTGTCACGGAGACACAGGGCCTCCAGGCCAGGAGTGGAGGGGAAGCCGTCCAGGGGCAGGTGGGTGTAGAGGAGGCAGCTGTGGAGAGACACAGTCTGCGGTCAGCACCGGGCCAGAGGCCTGAGCACCTGAGGGTCAGGTCCTCCCCCCGCCGGGCCAGCCCTCACTTCTCCCCAGAATGCTGGGCAGCTGGCCGGAGCGTGCAGGCCTCGGTCACCCGCAGCTGCAGCAGGGCCGCCTCGTAGTAGGCGCTGGGCAGCAGAACCACGTAGTCCTGGAGGTGGGAGGGTGGGAGGTCAGTGCTGTGGGCCCGCCCACCCCGCTCAGGCCCGCCCCCACACCGCCCCCTACCGCCCACACACCGCCCCTAAGACCCGCCCACACACCGCCCCGCCCCCTCGGCCCCGCCCCCTCCCCTCCCCCCCTCACCAGGAGCACCCCTTCCGCCTCCACGAGCAGGGCCCAGGTGCCGGGGTTCAGCACGAAGGGCTCCCCAAAGCCCCTCTGGGGCACGGTAACAAAGGAGGGCTCCGTGCTGGGTGGGAAGGCCACAGGCTGACTCTGCTCCGTGCCTGGCAGGGGGTCAGGGCAGGAAGACTGGTCACAGCCCAGGCCACACTCCGCAGGGCTAGCAGGACAGGCCGGCCTCCCACGCACGCGTGAGCCCGGGCGCTGGGCGGGATGGAACCGAGTGGGCGCAGGGGTTTGAGGCCAGGTGGGAGGCGCGTGGGGTGCAGGAGGGGCCGCGGGTGCACTCACAGTTGGCACAGGTGGCGAGCTTGCCCTCCTCCCGCACAGAGACCCTCCCGTTCACGTTCGTGGGCCCCCGGTTGACATAGCGGAAAACGAGCCAGAAGAGGTCAGGGGAGGTCACGTTCAGCCTGATCACCAGCCTGGGCTGAGGTGGAGGGGAGCAGAGAGTAGGGGTCACCCTCCCTGGCCATTCCCGGGCCGGGCCTGTGGACTCGGAGGCCTACCCACCCCCATGCCCACCTGGATGGGCGCCATTTGCGCGTAGCCCCTCCAGCTGAAGTTCTCAAACTCGAGGGGGTTGAAGCCAAAGCGCACGGTGTGGCCCTCGGGCGTGGCCGCCTCCTCCAGCTCCAGGTGCAGGTGGTGCAGGTCAGGGAGGTAGTGGTCCCTCGCCGGCCTGGCCACGGCAGGGGCGTCAGGACAAGCCCCGGGAGCCGCTGCCTCCCCCAGGCCGCCCCCCCCAGCCGCAATGGGCACCCACGTGCTGCAGGTGGGGCCGTGGGTGTTGGGGCGACAGCGGCAGGCGCCCGTGCTCGGTTCGCAGCCCTGGCCCAGCGCACCGCCAACATCGCACCGGCAGCCTGCAGAGCAGGAGGGAGTGAGGGCGGGGCTGCCTGGCCCCTCCCGCCTCGGCGCCCTCCCACAGCCCCGGCTCCGCCCTGGGCTCCCCAGCCTGGTCGGGAGCAACAGAGAGTGAAGCCAGCTGGGACTCTGGACAAGGGAGGTTCCGATTCCAGGCTCAGGGGCAAGGGCACTGGGATCGACTGGTGATGTCTGCTGGGGTGCAGGGGTGAAGGGAGGAGGCCCGAGGGCAGACCCCGCCCCAAGCTGGGGCCTGGCCAGGCATTCAGGAGCAGCTCAGTGAGTGCCCCCCCAAATGCCTGGGCCTCCGGGTGCCCGGGCCCTACCTGTGTCCCTTGACGCCACTGTTCCTCCCTGGGCCTCAGCCCTCCCGGGACAGCCCAGTAAGGGGCACTCACTGCGGCAGCCAAAGTAGTCGGCCTGGTCCAGCCCGAAGAAGCCGTCCCTGCACGCGGAGCACGTCTGGCCGCACACGTGGGGCTTGCAGAAGCACTGGCCGCTGCCCTGCGGTGGGGGGAGAGGTGGGACTAGGGGGGTCCCGTGCATCTGCCCCCCCCCCGAGCCCCCACACCTTGGCCCTCGGACTCACCAGCTGGCACTCGGCAGCTCCACCCAGTGTTCCCCTGGGGTCACAGCTGCAGCCTGGGGGAGGGGCAGAGAGGGGGAGGGGTAGGACAGCCCGGACTCTGTGGGGCCAGCCCTCACCTCCCTGTCCACCCAGGATTCTTCCCCAGCCGCCAACATCCACTCTGGGCAGACTCACGGGTGCAGCCCTGGGGGTTGCTGGGACTCAGCCCCCAGAACCCAGGTTTACAGCGGTCACAACTTGGCCCCTCCACGTGAGCCCGGCACGCACAGAAGGCCTGTGCCTGGGAAAGATGAGACCGAGGGTCAGAGTGGGCCCCTGCCCTCCTGGCCACAAACCTTTGGCCCTGGAGCCCTAATCCTGCACTGTGTCTGGTGTCACCTGGAGTGTGGACAGGGTCAGCCCAGGGAACAAATGAGCCTTGAGGTTTCCATAGTGATCAATTCGCAGGGGAAGCAATGGTCATCCCACCAAGGGCTGACCTGGGCTCACCTCGGGAAAAACACGATCGGCCGGGTCCAGGCCAGCGGGGTGGCAGGAGCCAGCTGTGGAGAGACATCTGCTCGGTCATCCCTCGTCACTGACCCTGATGGCAAAGGGCTTCCCCAGGCCTGGCCGGGACCCACAGCTCCCCGTGTAGACAGCATGAAGATGTGCACCTCCGGTCCCCACACCAGAGGGCGGGTGCCCACCCCCTCCTAGCACGTGGCCACGGACACACAACTAGCACACACAGCACACGAACACATGCGTGAACACACGTCCAGGAGAAAACACACGGCGACGTGCGCGGACACTGACTGAGGAGGCACGCGGACGCACACGCCGGCCTCACCTTCGCAGTACGGGAAGTTGTAGGTGCCGGGCACGCACGAGTCGCACCGCAGCCCGGTCACCTGGGGCCGGCAGCTGCACTGGCCACTGCGGGGGTCACAGGCCGCGTGCAGGGCGCCTTCGGCAGAGCAGTGGCAAGCTGGGGGAGAAGGGGGTGTGGGCATGCGGCGGGGGGCGCCCCCGCTGCCCCCTCCTGCCAGGACACTCACGGGCACAGGTGGGGAAGCCGTGGAAACCGGGGCTGCACTCCTGACAGGTGGCGCCTGCGTAGCCAGGGCGGCAGCGGCACAGCCCGCCTGCGCTGCAGAGCTGGTCCAGGGCCCCCTGGGGGTCGCAGGTGCAGGCTGTAAGGGACACAGGGTCAGGCCGTGGGCATTGGGGCCCTTCTATCCCCCACCCCCGCACCCCAGGCTTCTGCCCCGCCCCGGTCCCCCGCTCACCTCGGCAGTCAGGGTAGCCGTGGTAGCCGGGGTGACAGCGGTCACAGTGCGGGCCGTCGAACCCTGGCCGGCAGGGACATTGGCCAGCCTCGTCGCAGCCCTCGGGCAGGGTCCCCGCAGTGCTGCAGCCACACACTGGGAGCGGAGAGGCGCACAGATTGCTGGGCAGGGCGCACAAGAGCCCGGGCCCAGGCCCCCCCGCCGTGCCCACTGGGAGGCCTTGCTCACGCTGGCAGAGGGGGAAGTGGAAGTAGCCAGGGGCGCAGCGGTCACACGAGGCCCCCTCGAAGCCCACTCGGCAGGTGCACTGGCCCGAGTCACGGTCACAGTCGCCGTCCACCACGCCAGGGCTGGAGCACTGGCAGGCTGCAGGATGGGCACCACGCGCGGTCAGAGAGGGCCTGGCTCTGGGCATCTGCTGTGCGGGGGTGGGGGGCGGGGGGGCGGGGCCAGACTTACGCTCGCAGTCCTGGCCGTGGAACCCTGGGGCACAGCGCTCGCAGTGGGTGCCCTGGAAGTTGGGTTTGCATAGGCAGCGTCCCAGCCGTGGGTCTTTCCAACAGGCGTTGTCCTGGGTCCCAGTAGCGATGCAGTCACAGTCTGGGGATCGGGGGGCAGGGGGCAGTGTCAGGGGCGCGGCAGACCTGGCCCGCCCCGCTGGAAAACTTCCCGTGTCCACAAACTCGTGTCCAGCCTTTTCACTCTGCACACATATAGACGAAGACAGGGAAAGGCCGGGCCACGAGACCTGTGGGGGATCACTGCGTCAGGGGTGCACACGTCTAACCACGCGCTACACACCCGAAGCTAACGTGCTGCTGTACGTCGACTGTAACTGAAAATGCGGTTGTTTAAGTTTAGAATCGAACAAGTAAATGACGATAAAATTCCCGAGACAGGAAAACCAGCGTCTGGGGAGAAGCAGTCGTGTGACGAAATGAGGGAGACTGGACACAACCACTGAGTCACTCGTGACGTGCATACCAAGTCAACCACGGGCGTTCGCACAACCACAAAGAGCTTAAACTAAGGGTCATCACGTGGCGAAAGAAAAGTCTAGTCTTTGTAAGTGTTCCGGGTCGTGGGAAAAGGAGGGAAAAAATGCCCAAGCCTTAACTTGTACATAAAAAGAGGCCGTCAGTACTAGTTTTTGTTACTGAGAGGAAACAACAGGTCTTTATTTGTCCAAAGTAGAAAGGTCGCCACGGACCAGGCCCTACAAACCCTCAGAGAAGGAAACACCAACCGACCACAACGTGCTTGACTGCTCGACCCAGCCAAAGGCAGGAGACCCCACTGACGCAGCCACCGTCCCTCACCAGCCACGACGCTTCCTGAGATAAAACCCGAAGGCGGCCGTGTGACTAAAAGGGAAATCCAGTCACGTCCTCTGGAAAGGACACACCTTGAACCACTCAGATGGGAAACAACTACGTGAAGGAAGAGCATTCAGCACAGATCAGGGGAGGTGAGCGTGGACAGGCGATGTCAACCCACGGCCAGGAGCATCCGTGAGCACAAAGGGCTGTGTGCTGAGAAATTGGACTCACCCCTCGACAGAGAGGCAGCAAAACTATGTCTCCCAGCGCAGGGTAACTATGGTCTCGTGGTGTGGAAAGCTTAACTATGAAAATCGCGAGTTTGGCATAACCAGAGTCCTAGAGAGAAAGACTGAATCTACTGTTCTCAGAATGTGACGAAAACCAGGCAAGGAGATGGAGTGGCTTTAGATAGACTAATTCACACGTATGTGTGTGATGCACACACAGAAATCTGTACCCAACAGAGAACACACGTTCATGGAACAACCTAAAAGGGTGACAAACAAAACATCAAGTTCTAAAAACAAAAAGTAGAAATTGTCAGGCCACCAAATCTGACCATAATGTAGTAAAACGAGAACTGAACCAACAAAGAAAGGACAGGAAGGAAATCAGACCTCCAAGAAGGAAGGACAAACATACTTCTAAAGAACTTGGGTCAAAAGAAAATAAAAACTGAACTGACCAACTATGTAGGGTAAAGCAGTGGTGAGAACACAACAATCAACCCTGTGGGACTCACCTAGCCAAAGCTACACTCTGAGGCAAAATGATAACTTTATTTTATTTTAATCCTCACCCGAGGATATATTTTGCTGGTCTTAGAGAGAGAGCGGAAGGGAGAAAAAGAGAGAAACATCAATGATATATGAGAGAAACATCAATTAGTTGCTTCCTGTATGCGCCCCTACCACGGGAATCAAACCCACAACCTAGATATGTGCTCTGACCAGGGAATCGAACCAGCATCCCTTCAGTGCACAGAAAGATGCTCCAGCAAGCTGAACCACATGGGCCAAGGCCAATTTCCAAGGATTTTACAAGGTGAATTGCAAACCAAAACAAGAAATCTTTCAACCAGTCCTACTAATGAAAGCATTTACATTCAATGGCATGTCCATGCTGGGAAAGGCATTAATAAAATTCGTTATATAATTCACTGATTAAAAGTGAAATACTGCTTGCATGGGGACCTACTGAAGTGGAGAAGATGTTTTCAAATGATACATTCGATAAGGGGCTAATATCCATAATATATAAAGAACTCACACAATTCAACATAAAAAAAACCAAAACTGCCCTGGCTGGTTTGGCTCAGCGGTTAGAGTGTTGGCCTGCAGACCAAAGAGTTGCGGGTTTGATTCCAGTCAAGGGCATGTACCTCGGTTGCGGTTTGGTCCCCGGCCCTGGTCAGGGTCATGCGGGAGGCACCCAATTGATGTGGCTCTCTCATGTCGATGTTTCTCTCTCTGTCTCTCCCTCCTTCCCTCCCTCCCACTCTATCTGAAGATAAATGGAAAAAATATCCTTGGGTGAGGATTAAAAAAAAAACAAAAAACAGCCCTGGCCAGTTTGGCTCAGCAGCTGAGCATCAGCCTGCGGACCAGGGAGTCCCGGATTTGGTTCCTGCTAGGGCATATACCACCAAAACAAAAAAACACAAAAAACAGAACCACCAAACAGCCCTGGCCAGTTTGGCTCAGCAGCTGAGCATCAGCCTGTGGACCAGGGAGTCCCGGGTTCGGTTCCTGCTAGGGGCATATACCACCAAAAAAAACAACAACCCAAAACACAAAAAACAGAACAACCAAACAGCCCTGGCTGGGTGGCTCGGTTGGTTGGATCATTGTCCCATACCCCGAAAGGTTGTGGGTTCGATTCCCAGTCCTGACATACCTAGGTTGCGGATTCAATCTCTGGTCAAGGTGTATATGGGAGGCAACTGGTTAATGGTTCTCACATCGATGTTTCTCTCTCTAAACAACAAAAATCAATGGGAAACATACCCTCAGGCGAGGATTAAAAACAAAAACAAAAACACACCCAAACAATCCAATTAAAAAATGGGCAAAGCATCTGAGTAGACACTTCTCCAAAGGAGACCTACAGATGCCAGCAGACCCATGAAAAGATGCTGAAGTCACTAACCATCAAAGAGATGCAAATTCAAACCGCAATGAGACGTCGCCTCACACCTGTCAGAGAGGCTGTCATCCAAACATCAACACACACGTGCTGGGGAGGGTGTGGAGAAAGGGGAGCCCTCGTGCACGGTTGGTGGGAAGCAGACAGGCCCAGCCACTGTGGAAAGCAGTACAAAGAGTCCTCGAAAACTGAACCCTAGAACTGCCTCAGGACCCAGCAATTCCACGGCTGGGTATTTACCCAAAGAAAATGAAAACACCGACTCGAAAAGACACCTGCACCCACTGTTGCAGCATTTACAACAGCCGAGGTGTCCTCTGCGGAAGGAAGACACCTCTGAGTGGACTGTAACAGGCTGTCGACCAAAAGACACCCCCAGGAACCCTCGAGAGAAGAGTCCCCAGGGGAGGAGAATAAGCTGACAACCCTGAACCGTGTGGTGTCCTGAAAACAGTGCCCTGATTTAAGGGGTGACGACGGGTGCTGGCAGCCGGCTTCATTCCGAGAGGAAGTTGGCAGCCCACAGCCCCGAGTCAAGCCGGGGCAGAACCCACTCCGGAAAATCTTCCTGCAGAAGCACTCAGAACGTATGGGAGGTTGAGCTTCAAGGATGTTTATCAGAGCATTATTTAAAAAAAGAAAGTGGGAAAGAACCTACGTTCCCAGCAAGGGGGAAATGGTTAAATAGACGCGACACCTTTCTGTACGACACAGGACAAGTCACACGTCACAGGGTTGTGCTGGGTGGGAACCGACACGCGGAGCCTGTGGCTGTGCGTGGACAGGCAGCGTGCGTGGCCGAGCGGGCCTGGCGGGGGGACGGGGCTATTCACAGGGTGGCGCCGGGCAGTCTCTTCTTCCATGCTAAGCTTACCTAGATTTTTTTTTTAAATCTTCACCCGAGAGCCCTGGCCGGTTTGGCTCAGCGGTTAGAGCGTCTGCCTGCGGTCCGGAGAGACCCGGGTTCGGTTCCCGCTAAGGGCACGTACCTCGGTTGCAGTTTGTCCCCGGCCCTGGTTGGTCGTGCGGGTGGCAGCCACTCGATGTGTCCCTTTCACATCGATGTTTCTCTCTCTCTCTTTTCCTCTCTCTCCCTCCCACTCTGTACAAAAAGTGGAAGAATGTCCTCGGGTAAGGAAAAAAAAAAAAGAAAAAAAATCTTCACCCGAGAATATTTTTCCATTTATCTCAGATACAGTGGGAGGGAGAGAGACAGAGAGAAACATCGATGTGAGAGCGACACATCGACTGGTTGCCTGCTGCACGACCCCGACCAGGGCCAGGGACAAACTGCAACCGAGATACGTGCCCTTGGCCGGAATCGAACCTGGGACTTGCTGGTCCGCGGGCCGACGCTCCAACCGCTGAGCCAAACCGGCCAGGGCACGTTCACCTAGACCTCTGATGGTTTTCCAGCACGAATATGCATTGTTTGCACAACGTGAAAAGAACCAAAAGTAACGTGACCAAAATGAACATCCCGTCTCCCTACTGGGCCTTCGTGGGCCTCCCTCCGGCCCCACCGCTCCAGGGACCCAGGGCGGGAAGGGGCACCTGGGGGACACTCACTGATAATCTCTCCGGCCTGCTGTACCTGGGCCACAGTGCTGTTGAGAGGGGGCACCGCTGGGGAGGAGACACACGTGTCAGCCAGGCTGGCTCGGCACAGGGCACAGAGGGCAGCTGGGCAGGGTGGCAGGTGCCCCGGGTCCCCGCCCCCCGCCGGGCCCTCACGGTAGCAGCGCGGGAAGCTGGTGAAGCCCACGGCACACGCCTCGCACCGCTGCCCCGAGAAGTTGGGCCGGCAGTGGCAGCGGCCGGTCAGGTCCTCGCACGTCCCGTCCGTGAAGTTGGACTCGCAGTTGCACTCTGGGGGGGAGGGGCAGGGAGTCATGAAAACCCAAACCCGAGGCTGCCAGGTCCAGGAGGGGCGGTGGGAGGAGCCACGGCCGACCTCCTGGAGCGGGGGAAGGGCCCCGGGTGTGGAGGCCCTGGACACCCTGCCGGAGCAGACCCTGCCCCTGGCCACCAGTCCTCGGGACGCCCTCCCGGTGGACCCCACTCACGACGGCAGGCATGGGGCGAGTCCAGGGGGTGGTCTGGGTCACGGTAGAAGCCGGGCAGGCAGCGCTCACAGTTGATGCCGGTGGTATGATGCTGGGGGGACAGGGCCTCTGAGTCCGGGCCGCACCCCAGAGCCGGGCCGCCCACAGCACCCGACCCGACCCGGGAGGCCCCCTGCCCGGGAGCAGCCTGAGCCCACCTGGCAGTGGAGACACACGCCCCCGCCCTGGAACACGCCGTCCTGGCTCAGGCTGCCGTTGCGCCGGTCCACCTCGGGGTCGTAGTAGCAGTCGTCCGCGTGGCCGTGGCAGTTGCAGGCTGGAGGGCAGGGCAGGCACCCCGCTGTCAGCAGCCCCCCGAGACCCCGCCTGGTGGGTCCCCGGGGCCGCATCCCACGTACCATGGACGACCACCCGGGACGTGGCCTGGTTCCGGTGCCAGTCCATGTCACACTGCCCGAGTGTGCAAACAGCACCCATGCATGTGTGTGTGTGGTCCGTGTGTACGCGTGTGTGCTGCGCACGGGTCACAAAGTATGTGTGTTGTACGTGCTTCTGTGAACACGTGTGTACACGGGTGCATAGCACGTGAGTACGCGTGCGTGCGGGGACACCCATGAGCGTTGCGTGTGCGTGCGAGGAGTGTGGCCAGTGAGTGAGCTGAGGTGCACGTGTGAGCGTGTGCAAGAGCGTGTGTGCGCGGGGACTCACACTGGCACTCGCTGGCGCTGGCGGGGGTGGCCGGCCTCCAGGGCTGCTGGTGGAAGCCGGGGCAGCAGCGCTCACAGGAGCCCCCACACGTGTTGTGCTGGCAGACGCACTGCAACCTGGGGACGCGAGCACAGCGGGCTCAGGGCCGCCCGGACGCAGGGGGACGGGAGGGCGGGGGCGGGGTGCCGGGTGGTCAGCCTGCAGCGCGGGCCCCAGAGCCAGGCCGCCCCCCAGGGCCAGGACCCGAGGCCCAGGTCTCGCTCAGCAGGCAGCCCTGAGCTCAGCCAGATGCCCCCTCGGGTCCAGGGCATGTCCCCAGGGGCAGGTGGCCAAGAACGGCTTCCTCTTCTAGCCGGGAGTGGACGCGTCAGAGGGCTGGAGCCCTGCCCGCTGTCCTGGACAGCAGCTCCTGTTGGCTCCGTGGGAGGGGACAGCTGGACGCAACTGGGAACTGAGGTGGCGGCCACCTACTGCAGACGCCCATGTCAGGGCCCCATCCAGCACATCCGCTAAGGTGGGGGCTGGAAGGGGCCCATGCTGGGCTGCGTGTCCCTGGGTCCTGGGCCAGCACGGTGCAGGACCCCAGCCAGGCGCGGAGACCCAGAGCTCCAACCCCACAGCCTCGCCCCGTCCCCACCAGGGTCCGCGGCGGGGGGGGGGGGGGTTCAACACTGCTGTCCCTCAGAGTCCAGGACTCCTGGGGGCCCCCACGGAGGGGAGGCCCTGCCACAGATGGGCAGTCACAGGACGCCATCTGTGTTGGATCTGCAGCCAAGGCCCTGCAGCTGCTGTTAGACGTTTCGATAATCAACGTGCTCAGGGCCCCCCTAAGCTGAGAATGTCATGCGTAGTGGTGCCGGGCTGGCGATACCCTCACGTGTTTGGCAAAAGCCCTCACAAAGCCCCTGGAGGCCGGTGTCCCCGAGCAGGGTCGGCCATCACAACAGAACAGGGCTCGACCCCAGAGCTTCACAGTGAGCAGAAGCCAGAAAATGAGAGTGTTTCGAGACGATAACCTGAGGGTTGAAACGCTACGAGAAACAGGCAGATGTCACAGAAGGGCCGTCAGAACGTCCATAAACGGGAAACGGAAACGGAACCATCGCGTCAGAGCCGTGGGTGAGCTGCACGGCGCGTCGGGCGCCACCGAGGACGCTCGGAGCAGAAGCAGCGCCCGGGAGACCGCTCGGAAGACGGGGCATCCAGACCGCCTGGGACAGAAGGGAACCGTGACCCGAACTCCAGAAAGAGAAAAGGGGCAGAGGAGGAGACCCAACAGGGAGCGCTGGTGGCCAGGGAGGGTCTTGAATCAGCAAAGAGTCTTCTTCTCAGATTCAAAAAGCACGAGTCCTGAGCCAGAGAAACCACGTCCACCCCTCGAGGCCACAGGGTGGACCTGCAGAGCACCAAGAAGATGCCCAGGCAACGGGCATGCCCAGTGCACGGGACGGGGGACTCTCCGGAGCACCCAGACGCCAAGAGACCGTGAGCTGACATCTCTGCAGGGTTGACAGCCCTTCAACCAGAGCTCTAGTCAGCTCGAGCGTCCCCCACGAGTGAGGCAGAGCAGCCCTTTTAGACGCTGACACGCAGCACTAGGAAGGACATGCAGGGGACTCACCAGTCCCCCCCAAATGCACATGTGCCCCCAGTGACAGCGTTGGGATCTATGGGGATGATGAGGTCATGAGGTAGAGCCTCATTGATTATTGTCCTTATAAAAGAACCCCGGAGAGGTCCCCTGCCCCTTCCACCGGCCATGTGGGGACGAGGGGAGAAGATGCCCCAGCACCCCAGAACAGGGAGAAGCACAGCACTGCCTGCGGTGTCTTGGGGTGGTTGCCGGAGCAGAGAGACACACACGGCAACAACCACGGACCTTCCCAGGCTGGGGCGGGGGAGGGCGGGACACTGGTGTGCGCTGGCGTGCGGCTCTGGGAACCACGGCAGCCCTGCGCCCGGAGGGTGGGCTGAGCTCCTCCTCGCCCAGGTGAGGTGCGTCAGGGAGGGTGCCGAGCCGCCCAGCAGGCAAGGGCAGACCTGCCCCTCGCCCGACACCAGGCGGGCCCCCTGCCAGCCCGCGTGAGTTCCTGCTTGGCACTGAGTTCCCCGGAGCCATCCCTGGGCCAGCTGGGCAGGCAGGAGCTCCCGCCCGGGGCGCGGAGCCTGGACAGCATATAGGTCCCGAGGGCCTGCCTATGGCTGCCTGAGCCCTCCGGCCAGGCTGACCGTCGCCACGGACAGGTTTGGGGTTTGCCTCTGGGCAGCTTTGACTGTGACATGGGGGTGCGCCTCTGTGCTGCCTGGGCGGTGCTCGTCCCCCCTGCAAGTTGGGGTGCAAAGCAATAAAACCCCAGCAGAAGGCACAGAGCAGGCCCAATCCAAGAGTGTGGCATGGGGGCTGTGGTTTCCAGGCAAGGACGGTGCTGGGCACACCGCACCTCCCGGGAGCTTGGTAAAGAGCAGGCACCCAGCCCTGGCCGGTTTGGCTCAGCGGTTGGAGCGTCGGCCTGCGGCACAGAGAGACAGGGCTCGGTTCCCGCTCAGGGCATGTACCTCGGCTGCAGTTTGTCCCCGGCCCTGGTTGGGTCGTACGGGTGGCAACCACTGGATGTGTCCCTTTCACGTCGATGTTTCTCTCTCTCTCTCTCCCTCCCACTCTATCTGAACGAAAATGGAAAAATGTCCTCGGGTGAGGATTAAAAAAAAAGAGAGAGCAGGCACCCAGGCCTCATGGCTGACTCCGTGGGCTTGGGGCTGCTGCCCCCAGCTCCCCCTCCCGGGCTTTGGCCCCTGCCTGAGGTGTGAGGGGGAGGTCAGGGCTTGGCGTGTGTCCTTTGTGCCCTGGGGGAAGGTGGGGGGTGGGCACTCCATCCAGCCAAGAGGACAGGGACATGCAGCCTCAGGCCCACTGCCTCCCTCTGCAGCTCCCCTCCCTCGGGCCCCAGGCTCAGGGTCTAGACAAGCAGCACCTGCACTGGCCGCAGGGCCAGGGCCACGGCACCTGGGAACCGAGGGTGGTGGCCAGTGCAGGTCGCAGGGGCCAGGGCACGGCGGGCAGTGGAACCAGGTCTCCCCCCACCGGGTTGGGCAGGCGTGAAGGAAACAGGAAGCCACTGGCCTCACCTGAAGGGGTCCGTGGGGTCTTTGGCGTCACAGACGTCTGCGTGGCCGTGGCAGACGCAGCGGCCACCGATGCTGATGTCCTTGATGCTGTAATAGTACTGCAGGCGGCTGTGAGCTCCGCGGCCCGCCCGCCCCCACCCGGCCCGCACGTGATCCACACCCGCCCCTGCGGCTCACCCGGCGGGTGACGGTGGGGTCCCGCAGCGCCTTGCCCATCAGGTGGCCCAGCAGAGTGTTTGTGCGCAGGAACCGCAGGCGGATGTTGGTGGCTTTGGTGAAGTCGCGCAGTGAGGGCGAGTAGGAGAAGTTCATGGCCCCTGGGCGCCCGTTCACTAGGGACACCACGACCTGCGGACAGGACGGAGGGTCACCTGCCACCGCCGCCCCGGGATCAGGGTCAGCTGCCACCGCCGCCCCGGCAGGACCCTCCCGCGCCCGCCCAGCCCACCTCGCCGTTCTCCAGGGGCACGATCCGGGAGTACTCCGTGGTGCAGATGACGTCGTCGTCCTGCGCGATGCGCTCCAGCCTCGGCACCCCGAACCGCTCCAGGCAGTCCCTCCTGGAGGCTGCAGGACCGGGGGGAAGGTGAGGGTGCAGGGTGCGGGAAAGCCTGTGGACCCCGCGCCCGGGGGCACCAGCCTGCATGACTGGGCTTCCCGGGGCACCACGGCTGGTCTGTGCAGGGAACCAGCCCCTGGTGCACAGTGCGGGCCCAGGCCAGACCTCGAGCCTCTGGCCCCCTGGATGGCCCTCATCCCTGTGCTGCCTCCCCCCAATAGAGGGCGGCCCCGCCCCCACTCTTGGGTGGGGAGTACCGGGTGGACAGGTGACCTAGGCCCACCCAACCGGAGCATCCTGTCACCACGATCAGTCTGGGTGGCACGTGGCGTGGCATGGCCCGCAGCGAGCACGGGCATGGGGCTCCCACACACTCAACGCGGTGGCAAAACTGGCTGCCTCTGCCCCTCGGGAGCTGCAGGTCGTGAGTCCACCCGGAGGGAACCACGCCCCCCGGGAACACGCCTGCCATTCCTGGCTCCGGGACACTCACAGGCGAAGAACTGCCACGGCTGGTAGGTGTGGCCGAAGTCCGTGGACCGCTCCAGCACCCAGAGGTCCGGCCGAGGGGAGTTGGCAAACTTGATGAGCACGTAAGCCACGTGGAACACCTGCGGGGGTGAGGGGTTGATGCCCTGAGCCTCTCTCCTTGAGCCTGGAGGGTCACCGCCCCCGGCGCAGGCTTCCCTTCTCCCACGTGGACTTCTGTGGGTTTTCCCGAGGGCGTCACACACCCCAGTGAAAGGGCCACCCGCTCAGGGAGCAGCCCCGGCCGTGACGATGGGGACCTGGCCACTGAGGCCTACATGGGGGACACTGCCATTTCTGAGGGCTCCCTGCGGAGGTCGGGGTGCGATGGCTCAGAGCCCAGACCTGCCTGCTATCCCTGCCCCAGGAGCCCACGGCCTAGGACTCTGAGGCCGAGACTGGGGGGCAGCCTGTCTGTAGACCCCGAGACAGGAGCTTGCTCGCCCTCCCCCACCCGTTGCCATGGCTCCTGTGGCCAACCTGTGCCACGGCCAGACACTGCCTGCCCCACACACGGTAGGCAGGTGACACCCCTCCTGGGTGGGGCCCTGTCCCAGCCTCACCTGGCCACTCCCCATCACTCTCAGAACCAATTCGGAACCTGCTCCTCCACTGACCAGCCCCCAGGGGTAGGGGCCTGGAGCAGCTGGGGCCCAGCCTCTCTGTGGTCACAAGGTCCCAGTGAGGGAGACACTAGAAAATGGGGAGCCAGGCTCCCGCTGCCAAAGGCATCCCTCGTCCAGCTCCCCAGGGATGAAGCACAAGGTGGGGTCCCCACGTCGGCACCTGGGACCCCTGACCCCAGGCCACAGCCCCCAGGAAACAATGAGGGCTCAGAAGCAGCTGCTGAGCCTGAGGCCCCCGTGGCTCGGCTGGGCCACCCAGACCCCCCCAAGCTCCACCCTCACACCCCAGCAGGTGGGTCTTCTATGCCCACACCCCCCGGGGAGTGCCCACCCCAGGCTCAGCCCCCACAGGGAAGGACAGTGGGTCCCGGCAGCTCTCAGGACAAGCGGCCCCAAAGCCAAGGGAACAAGAAAGCCGGACAGCATTGTCCAGCCTGCTGGTGTCCAGCCTGCACCCTGTGCGTGGTGTTTGGGCTCCACGGACACCGGACGGGGGGCGGTGGGACAGACACCCCCAGTCTGCACTCGGGAGTGGTAGGCCCAGACATGCTGGTGAACATGCCACCCGTCGGGGGTGCCCACCCTTACGCAGGACCTGGAATGCGGGTCCCCAGTCCACACCCCAACCCCAGCTCTGCTCACAGGGTCGCCCCCTGGTGGGTTCTGAACTGTGCATAGACCTTGAGGGTGACGCCATGCTCAGCAGGCCCAGGGAAGACGGTGCCCTTTGGGGAGCAGGATCCTCCCCGGACCAGCTGAGGCGACCATGGAGGGACCGACAGTGGACCCCTCGAGGCCCAGCCCTCAGGAGGCACAGGCTGCCAGGAATGTCCGCGGGGCAGGGTCCCAGCACCCGGAGACACGCCTGTGTGGAGTGCGAACCCTTCCCGGAAGGCCTGCGGCTCTCGGACGAGCCCACGTCAAGCCAAGTGGCCTTCCCCTGGGGTGGCGGGTGTAGCCTGTTCACCCATGTTCAGGCTCTGAGGTCATCTTCCTTGCGCAGCTGGGGGAGGGGCAGGAGTCCCGGGGGGGCAGACCCTGCACCCAGCTGGCACCTTGACCAACCCTCAAGCATTCCAGGGAGCCCTGGGGACCTGGTGTCCATGAGTCACCGAGGCCCCCAGGAGACTGAAGGCTCCCCCCAGCACCCTGAGAGCCACCCCCGCCTTTCCCTGGCCGGCTCGGTCCCTCCCCCGGCAGCAGCTGGCCGCATTTTTCCCAGCTGAGGGCACTTGCACAAATATTGATTCGAAGACACTGATCGGGCAGGACAAGGGCGTCATGGGAACTTCCCCCACGCCCACCAGGCCGGGCGCACTTCAAGCAAGACCCCGCCTCCTGCGTCTGCCCACCTGGCCCGTCACACAGGGGCCCTGGGCGTCTGTCCGTCCCCGAGGGCCTGGAGGAGAGGAAGGGCCTGAATCCCCGTCTGTCCCTGACCTGGTGCCGCGCCCTGGGCCACCCTGGGCGTGACCGGGGGGCGCGGGGCCCCGGCTGCCCCCTGACCGCCCTGCTGGCCGCCCCGCCCCCACCCCTGGCTGGGCTGCTGGCACAGGCTGACCTTCCCGCTGCTGCGAGTTCTCTGCAGAAGGAAAGAACGTCTTTTAAGCAAAAGCCAAACAAAAGCCTCCTGAGTTATTTTTAACAATCTGGCTATTTTGGGGCAGGCACTTCTCCAGGACAGCAGCCCGACGGCCTCTCGGTCACCGCACCCCGGCCCCCACGCCCAGCCTGACCGCAGAGGGCCAGGGTCCCCCAGGAGGCCATCTGCCCCCACCCCTCACTGATGCCTGACGGGGGCGGGGCCTGAGCAGGAAGCCACGGTGGGTTCTGGGCCCAGTGGTCCTGTGGCCCTGGGCAGTCATACCCGCTCCGTGGGCACAGGGGCAGTGGAGAGACAAACACAGGGTACGGCGGCCAGAGGCCTGCAGGGGACGAGGTCACCTGTCCCCGAGGTGAACAAGAAGCCAGCAGCCACCAGTCTGGGACGGGGCACCTGACATCACACCACACTCTGGTGGGGGAGGGGAGTGCGCAGGGCCTGGCTGGGATCTGGACACCCCAGCAGGGTCTTTGAAACCCTAGAGGGTGGCAAGGGGTGCCGGCTGGCCAGCAGCTCCTAGGTCCAGGCACCCGCGTCACCAGGGCAAGGCCTCAGCTGGAACCCCGGACTGCAAGGCGGTCAGCCAGCACACCCACCTTTGCCCTGGCGCACCTCGGGACCCTGGGGAAGAGGGCCCAGCCCCCACCCCTGGCGGGCTGTGAATCACTGGGCAGCGTGTGACTCAGCCTGGCCCTGCCGGAAGCAGGCCCGGTGCTGATCCCTGGGGCTGGGCCCGGGTCCCAGGCTGTGGCCGGGTGGAGGCAGGAAGCCCCTCCTAGACCCAGCGTCCGGGCTAGCTCCCCAGCCATTCCCCTCGGAGTGACCAGTGGGCACCCAAACCTCCCAGATTCCCCGCCCAGACTGGGGGCTGCCTTCTGGGCCCCACCCGCGTGTTGAACGCACCTGGACCTGCCCCCCCAGTTTGCCCTCTCCCCCGTGTGCCCACCCCCCCGCAGAGACCCCTCTGGAAACCCTGGTCAAGATAAACACCCCCGCAGGGCTGGGTGGCCGGGCAGGCAGGTGTGTCTGTGCAGGCCCCCGACTGGGTAAACAGCACGGCCGTCCACGCGGCAGGATCAGGGAGGACCCGGCTCCGGGAGAGATGGGGAACGGAAGAATAAAACATGGAAACGCAGGGAGGACAGGCAGGGCCCCCAGCACCCGGCCCTACTGGGTGGTGTCCGACAAAGCGGGGTGCAGAGCGGGGTGCGGGGGAAGGGCTCCTGACGGGCATTCAGCTCACCAGCTCGTCCCCTCCCCCCTGCGGTGACCAGGTCAGGCCAGATGGTCACCCCAGACCACAGGAAGCGGAGTTTATCCCAAGGGGACCCCAAACCCAAACAGTTTAGTCTCTGGTGAGCGGTACTGCTGGAGGTCAACACTGGGGGGTTTGTTTAAAAACATGAAAACAGCCCGACTGGCGTGGCCCAGGGGATGGAGCGCCGTCCCATGGACTGAGAGGTCCGGTTCCATTCCCCGCACGGCCCGGCTTGCGGGCTCCATCCCCAGTGAGGGGCATCCAGGAGGCGGCCAATCGGTGTTTCTCTCTCACATGGATGTTTCTATCTCTCTCTAAAAAAGAAAAAAAAATCAATTAAAAAGAGGAACATGAAAACCAGGAGCCTCTGGGGGCCTCGAGGCCTGGGGGTCCAGTGTGAGGTGGCGGGGGACATGTGTGCACCCAGAGTGAGCAGAGGTGAGCAGCCAGGCTGACCGTGTGCGGCTCTTGGAGGCAAGTGTGGCAGGGACAGGAAGCACGGGACCTGGGACAAAGGGCCCGTGTCCTCGGAGCGAAGGCCAGGCAAGGGCAGGGTTTCGTGGGGTCTCGTGAGGAGAGGCGGGCCTGTGCCGGAACAGGAGGTGCCGCTGGCTGGCCACCCAGGAGCCCCCCCACTGTCCACCCCAGGGAGCCCAGCTCAAGGGGCTGTGTCCGGTCTGGCCCCCACACCTGTCCTGGTTGCTGGGCTCTGTAACCAGAGCCTGGCCAGCCTCGGCCAAACTTCCTGCCGCTCCCCTTGAATAACCCCGCTGACCCTTCTGGGGGCCTGGCCATATGGCCAAGTGCCCAGCTGGGGAACCAGGCCAGTGGGCACGCTGGGACCAGGAGACCTGTCCAGGCAGCCTGGGCCGGCCAGCCTTGGAGGGCATGCGCCTGGAAATGGGGGTCCAGCTAAGGGAGCCATGGGGGGGGGACTCTGGCTGAGGTGCAAAGCCCCTCTAGCAGGTGCTCAGTGTCCCCAGGTGCCCGGGGAGCACTCAGCCCCCAGCATTGGCAGCCCCCTGGAGCTCTGTTCCTCAGCAGCCCGGCTGGTTTGCGGTTCCCTCGGGAGGGCACGGAACCCCCCCCCCAAGCTGGCATTTCTAGCCCCAACCCACACTTTTGGCCTCACCGTCAACCACCCCAGCCTACATCCCAAGGCTGTACCCCTCCACCTGTCCCTCCAGTCTGTGCCTCTGCTCACCTGAAGCCTGACTCGGGCGGGGAGTGTGGCTGCAGCCACAGGTAAGGGCCACCAGGGGGCCTCCACCCACTCCCCCAGGTCCTTAAGGCCACTGGGCAGAGGGGGCAGAGGCCTGAGACCCTGTGGCAGACCCTGGCGAGGAAGAGCGCTTGGGTAGGGACCTGCCTCATGTGTGGCCTGAGCCCAGGAGGTCAGGAGCACCCACGCTGTCCGAGTCCCGGGCAGGGAGAGCCTGAGGCAACAGGAGGTCCCACGGGAAAGACAGGGGGACCCTGGGCAGGTCACCGCTGGACGCAGGACACGGCCCTCGGCCCCACTGGAGGAGAACCCCTTCCGAGGCTGGCATCTAGCCAGCTGAGAATAGAGGTGGTCTCAGGCCTGAGGGTCCCTGGCCGAGGTGCATGCAGGAAGCAGGACAGGGTGTCGAGCCCTGGCCCCCTCTTTACCCTCCCGGCCAGGCCTTGGCTCCCAGAGCCCCAGGTCTCCATCTGCCACTTGGGAAGGAAGAGGGTCCCATGCCCCCCCCCCATGGGAAAGAGCAGAACAGATTCAACCGACCAGCCAGCCCTGGGCCACCCACCAGGCCTCGACGAGCTGTGAGCTGTGACACTGCAGCCCGGGAGCAGGAAGCTGCCTGATGCCCGGGCGGCTGCCCCACCCCCTCTCCAGGGCATCCGCTCCACATCACAGAACAAAGACAGCTGGCAGCCAGCCAGCAGGAGTGCCCAGCCCGCTGCCCCTCGCCCCGCTTCCTCACGGAAGCCCCAGCCCCACCCGGCCCCTCGCCTCCAAAGTGGGAGAAGCCGGGCGCGGTCAGGACCCCGGGCCGGGTTAGCTTAGCCAGGCCCCTCGCTTGGCCTGTCTCGCACCTGCCCAGGGAGTGTGCTCGAGGGCTCTGCCCTGGGCACCGGCGGCTGCCGGCACCAGAGCCAGGGTCACTGCAAGGGCCTCCACCTCCAAAGGCCTCCCCGAGGCTCCGAGCCCCCGAGATCTCACTTCTTGCCCCAGCCTGGTCTCCGTGCCCAAACCCAGCAAGTGGCATCCCAGAGACCAGTGCCTGCTCAGTGGCTCAGCGAGGGGGCCCCGTTGCCCACGTTTCACGGGAATCCCACTGTGGCTCAGACCTTCTTGCCGTGGGGCAGGAACCTGGGTCCACGGCCCAGTCCCTGTGCCGCACCCCACCCTGACCACGGTGGGCAGCCCCGAGTACGGGTGGTCAGGGACCAGGGGTGTGTGGCGGGAGGCCGGAGGGAGGAACACGCAGATGGAAGGAGGAAGGGAGGGTGGGCGGGTCAGTGAATGGGGGTGGGGGGGAGGGGACCATGGTAGGTGGATAGGTTCCCCAGACATCTGGAAATCGGGAAACTGAGGCCTGGAGAGGCAGGATGCACAGGTGGCGAACCCTCTCCCTGGCCCAGGACCCGCCTATGAAGCCAATGAGCTTCCTGCTGCCTCAGCTTGGCCGGGTCACAGATGCAGAGATGGCGGCTCAGGGGTCACCGCCAGGGTGGGTGGGGGGCTGTGTGGGCGCCTCAGCCCCTCTACTGCACCTCCGGTTGCGGGCACTGTGCCCACCTGCTCTGAGGCCAGTCTGGGGTTGCCATGGAGACTGGGCCACTGCATCCTCAGCTGGAGCCTCGCCCCTCCCCCAGCCCAGCCAGGCCTGTCCCTCAGGAGGGGAGGGGAGGGACAGCAGCTCAAAGGACCCACCAACTCGGTGCAGAACGGGGGCCCTCTGACCACCCTGGGGCGCTCCCCTTCCCACCCACAGTGCCAGGGAAGGCGACCCCAGGTCACACAGGGGTTTGAGGCCCCTCCCAGGCTCCCAGGGCAGGAGAGCGTGCGTGTGGGGAGAACCGTGAGCAGGAGGAACTGGGCCAAGCCCCAGCCAGACCTGGGCCAGACACCAGCACCAGCCCCAGACCTGCAGGCAGAGCCCAGGAGGGGCAGGGAGCCCTCTCCCCAGCTCCCACCCAGCCCCACCCCCTCTCTGACACCGTAGCCAGTCCAGGCCCCCTGGTATTTCAGGCCACTTGTCAGAACTTGAACCCACCCGACCACTGGGCCAGGGCTGAGTGCCTCCAGGCCGGAGCAGGGGGTACTGGGCATCACTCTGAACCTGCCCAGGACCTGTCCTTCCAGTCAGCTCACGGAAGACACTTGACCCCTCCTCTCCACACCCTCAGGGTCACAGCAGGAAGAGGCTCAGCAAGGGGCAGACACACCAGGTCACACGACAGGGCAGCGGCAAAGCCTGCCTGGACTCTAGCCTCTGGACCTGAACCTTCCTCGCCCCCGCGGGGGGGGGCATCTGGTCACATCAACCTTGTAGCCCCAACTCCGGGCAGGCCTGGCCTTGTCCACCTGCTCCCACCCCATCCCAGGAGGCAGCAGGATTGCTGGCCCATTTTACAGGCCAAGATGCCAAGGCCAGGCACCTGGGCAGTCACAGTGAGCAGGACACAGCCTGGACCCGGGTCTGAGCCAGCAGGTCCACCAAGGGGGACTCTTCCTCACTGGGAAGTGCCCGGGCTCTCCCTCCTGCCTGCACAGGGCCCGGAGCAGGCACACCAGACCCCGGGGGCACACCTGACCCCAGGGGCTCTTCCAGGCAGGTATCCCAGGAATGTCCACTTCCAGGCCTCCTCCGCATTCCTGAGGCCCTCCCACACCAGCAGGCCGGCCCAGCTCCCTGCGCAGGAATTCCTCCAGTAAACACCAGGGCTCAGCGTATGGCGGCTTCTGTGGCGGACCCCCACCCTAATGCCCACGGAACCACTGGTCAGCACCCACTTTCCCTGTACGCCCCAGGGGTGTGGGAAGAACACAGGTGAGGTGCCGCTGCCACACCGTTGTCCGTGCTGGGGTGCCGGGCCGGACACCTGCAGACAGTCTGCGCCCAGACTCCCGGCCGAGACCTTGCTCCGTGGGGACCTCACCTTCCAGTCCGTGCCCCAAGGGGAGCCCTAGGGCAGAAATGCAGAGGTGGGGGCTTCGGCGAGCTAAAATGAGACTCTACCTGGCCCAGGTCCAGGGTGACGTTGACCTCATTGTACTGCAGGCCGCGGGACAGCGGCGGGCTCTGCCACCAGCGCTCCGTGCCGTCGATGGCGTTGCTCGCGGGGTGGGCCTTGTTGCTGTTCCTGGCCGTGCAGATGTCACAGTACTGGCCCTAGGAGGCGAGGTCAGAGGGTGAGAAGGGCCGGAATGCTGGTCCCCTGCAGTCACCCTCCCGCGATCTGGGCCCCATCATACTGCCCACCACAATCTGGGGACCCTCGCTCACCATTCCCTCATTTGCCGTATCTACTACCTTCTTGACTCAAAGGATACAGCTCGGGTGAGAGGTGGCCACACCCACTGTGGGGGGCCGAGGGTGGAAAGGAGAGAAACACCCAGTTTAAAATAAATTGTTTTTCCTTTATTGATTTTAGAGAGAGAGGAAATGAAAGAGAGAGAGAAAGAGAGAAACATTGATGAGAGAACAATGATTGGCTGCCTCCTACTGGGATTGGGCCCACAACCTGGGCATGTGTCCTGATCAGGAATTGAACTGGCGACCTCTTGGTGCAGGGTCGACGCTCCACCGCTGAACCACACCAGCCTGATGGAACACCCACTTTTGATGGAAAATCAAGGTGGGCCTCTCTAAGGAGGTGACATACACCACAAGGAAGTGTGTGCTTCGGGCACAGGGCTGCCCGTGCACAGGCCCTGGGGCAGGAAGAGCCACTGAGGAAAGAGAGATGACCCATGGAGCTGGAGCTGGAGGGAAAGGGGCAACTCACATGTTCCCTACAAACAGAAGAAGGTGGGATGACCTGGAGGCAAAGGATCCAGGGGGCCAGAAACATCAGGACAGCCGGACCCCCCCACCTCCTACTGGCCGTCTCCCACAACAGCCCTGCCAGGCTCTCACCCGGAGCCGCCTGGATCAGAGTCTCCGGAGAGACGGAGCTAAGCCATTCCGGTAGCCCGAGGGGACAGGCCCCAGAGTGAAGGCATGTGGGCAGCCAGGACCTCCTGGCTCTGCGGCTTCCGAGCCCTGGGACCCGGCCAAGTCATGGTAGCTGCTAAGCCTCAGTGTCCCCATCCGAAGAGTGGGGGTGACGCGGGCACCTGCCTTGGCCGTCCCAGGATTAACGATCCCAGCCCAGGCCCGGCAGCTGCTTCTGTCACGGTCCAGACACCTGCCAGGGGCCTGTCCTCTGGGGGGGCAGAGTGCTGTCCCTGTCGGGGAGCAGCAGGTGCTGCCAGCCTGGGGTGGGGTGGGGGCAGGGCTGGGCCCTGGCCACTGGCCCAGTGGAGCCCAACCCCCCACCCCAGAGGAAACCAGACCTGCCATCCCTCTGCACACAAAGGCGCCCTCGGGGACTTGGCAGTGATTGAGGCCCCAGAGGATGAGTCTGGGAAAGGCAGTCACCACCCCGCCCAGCCTCCCGGGGGGGCCAGACCTCAATCAGGAGTTGGAGGTGGGAGTGGGAGAGGGGGTGGGGCAGCCCCACCCCCACTCCCAGGCCCCACAGGACAGCTCTGAATGGGTCTGCCCCAGGCAGGCGTCTATAGTGCACCTGGGAGGGGAGACCCACAGGCAGCCTGGGCCCCATGCTGGGGGCTTTGAGTCCCCCCCAGCTCAGCCCTGCTCCTGCCTGAGGCCCTTGCACCCTGACCTCCTGCCCTACCTCAGCTCAGATGTCACCTACTCAGCAGGCCTCCACCAGCTCTCGTAGACCACCCAGGACGCTGACCTGACCCCCCACAGGCCTCACCTTGCTTTATTTACTCTGCCTGTAAACCTGGACTCCTGTGGCTATGAGGGGGTCTGTGTTTACTGCCTCCCGGGGCTGAGACCTGGCGAGGGGCAGGGGGCAGGACACCGACCTGGTTCTGAACTGTGTCCCTGCGCCCACCCAGGGCGGCCACACCTTGGGGACAGAGCCATGGAGGACGCCAGAGGAGCGCCTGAGCCATGTGGGCCGGAGCACCAAGCTCGAGTGGTGGCCCCTAAACGGGAACCTGGGGCTCCAGCTCCCGGGCCTGTAGGAGCTCTCGGGGGCGAGCAGAGGGTTCAAGGGTGTCACCAGAGGTGCTGTGCACAGGGGTGTAGGCGTCAGGGGCCTGGCTGGCAGGGAGGTAGTGGCCTTCCAGAGAGGGAGGCCTGAGGTCAAGACCCTCCCAGCCCGGGAGCGCCCTGTAGGGCTGGGTGGAGGGCTGAGTCGAGAGAAGTTTCTGCCCGGGCAACCCTGGCAGTAATCCCACTGTGCCTGGCCTGGGCTCCCAGGGGACAGGGCATCCAGGCTCCCTCCACGCCTGTGCCAGAGGATCTTGCCGGGAGCGAGTGAGGAAATGAGCTGATAAGAACTTCCCCTCCCAGTGAGTCACTGTGCCAGCGGCCGAGCCCACACTTCCCCTCGGGGCCAGTCCTGAATCCTCCCGTGCCTACCTGAGGCTGAGAGGGTCGCCCTACAGGACCGCCTCACCCTGCTGGGACCCCCTGCTCAGCCCTGCCAGCTCTGTCCCGTCCCTGATCCCCTGGGAGCTGTGGCCCTGAGCCTCGGGCCCCACGTCCTCCGTGACCCACAGCCCACGCTGGCACAAGACCAGGCTCTCTGGATGGAGAGGAGGTGGGCTTCACCTCCCTGGCACCTCACCAACCCAGTCAGAGGCCAGGGCCCTGAGCAGACCCGCTGCCCCCAGAGGAGAGGGCGGAGGTGCTGGCCATTCAGGGACTTGGCCAGGGTCACAGGGCTGTTCAGCTCCTTTCCATCTGACTGCTGGTCTTTCTACCCAGCAGGTCCAGGCTTGCAGGGAGAGCTCTGGCCTCTGCTGGACTGTGGGCAGGGAGAGCAAGCTGACGCTCCTCATTCGGGGCCAGCCCGGTGGCACCTAACGCTAGGGCTGCCACCGGTCGCCAAGCAGTAACGTGTGAGGATGGCTTCCCGGCCGCCAAATCAGGTGCGGCGTGCCCACTTCACAGACCAGGAGACTGCGGATCGGGGAGGAGAACCACTCAGCTGCGGGAGGCAGGAGAGGTGCTTGAGCCCTGGCCACAGGCCCCAGGCTGCTCCTTCGAGCACTAGGAGGCCGAGGTGCAAGGCCCCTCCCTGCAGGGGTCCCTGCCGCTGGGGCCGGGCCGCCCGGTGGGCAGAGAGGAGTGGTCTGGGGCTCAGAGGGGGCCTGGAGCTTCCACTGTCTGAAGGGCAGAATCTCAGCTGAGCAGCCGGAGGAGTGGCCAGGCTCTGCCGGGCCCTCTGGGGCAGCTTTGGAAACCCCCACACACCCTCCTTCCCTGGACCCGGGCCCTCTGACGTCAAGCAGACGTGCCAAGGGCCCGCAGCGGCCCTGGTTTTCATTGCTCACCCCAGCCAGACGGGAGCTGACTGGGAGGCTTCCCCAGGGTTCTGTTCCCCTGTCTGACATGTGGGCTCGAGACCTCCTCTCTGCTAGGCAGGGCTTAGAGGAGAGCAGGTGAATCCAGGCCTGAGGGAGGCAGCACTCTGCCCTGGGACGCTCCCCACACCAGGGCCCCTCCTGCTCCTCCCTCCCCGGGAGGGCCAAGGGCAGGCACGAGGCAGGCAGGGCAGGGCCCCCAGGCTCCTCCATCACCCACCCCAGCTAATCAACTGTCCAACTACCTTCCTCCCCTCCCCCAGCCTCTCCTACCAGGAAGGTGGTGGCCTGGGACCTCCTCCCCAGAGGAGACTGCTCCGTTTACATCAGCCCTGGGGGCCCCCAACTCTCCTTGAGGCTCAGGAGTGTAAGGATGGGCCTAGTATGGGGTGTCAGGGACCCCAGCGCAGACCCTACCCGCTCTCCCCAAGGCAACCCCAGGAAGCTTTGCAGGCCAAGGAGCCTAAGACCCCAGCCCCCAACCTGTCCTGAGGGTCTCGGCAGCCCTGCTCCCTGGGAGTGGGGGTGGGGGGGTTACCATGCGTGAGGCCATCTAACCCATCCCCACCTACAGGCTCACAGGGCTGGGGAGGCCATGCGCCCCCCGCCCCCGTATTCAGAACTTGAAACCATGGTCCCCCGGGGGCTGCAGCCAGAGGCCTCACCACCTGTGTGTGGGGCGGAGATGCTGCCCCGACTGAGCTCCCGTTCCCGTCCCGTCAACAATCCGGCTGCTTGACGCCCTCCTCCACCTCCAGGGCCCCATCAGGTCTCTGGGCGCCCCTCCCCGCCCCCGCTGGGGATGGATTCACCCTTTGCAGCTCGTAGGGAGAACCTCCCGCCGGGTCTGGCCCCTCCTGCCCCGTCCCGGTCCCATCCGGACGCGAGCGGCAGGCTCCAGCTTGTCTTGGGGAAGGCGGAGCGGTCCGCCCCCTCCCCGCAGGCAGCGGGCGGCTGCTGCCAAGTCCCACCTCGCCCGCATCCCGGGACTTGGGGCCGCCAGGGACTGGGCACCAGCCCCCCTTCGCCCTGCCGTCCTCAGTCCGCGCCAGGGACTCCGCGTCCCGCCTTCCCGGGTGGCGGCGTGGGCTGGGGACGCGCAGTTGTCTGGTAGAGCCTGAATGGCCAAGTTGGGGTACCTTCCGCTCTCCGAAATGTGGAACCGGAGAGTCGGGGCGGGACGCGGGGCCTCGGTCCGTACCTGGGCTCTCCCCGGCCCGGCCCGGACGCTCCCCGCCAATCGGGCTCGAGCTGCCCGTCTCCTGTGGCGCCGGGTCCTCAGGACCGCGTGTCCCCCCGCCGCACCCCTCCCCGCCCGCGGAGACCTTGCCCCCGGCGCGCGCTCACCTGGATGGTCTGGTTGGGGTCCCCGCCGGCCACCGGGCCCCCCACCAGCTTGCAGTAGAGGTCCTCGGTGGGGCGTGGGGCGCCGCGCGCCGGGGCCTCCTCTCCGCAGGTGGCCGAGGCGGCGATGCGGGCGCCCTCGGCCAAATTGAAGTAGGGTGGGTGCAGGCTGAAGTCGCCGTCCGTCGCTGCCCGCGCCGCGCCCAGCAGCGCCAGTCCGACCAGCAGCAGCGGCGGCGGCGTGGGGCGCGACCTCCCCATCTCGCAGGTCCCGGCCGCGCTCTGTACTCCGGGACTGCGCGCCGCGGGAGCCCCGTGGGGTGTGAGCGCGGGGCCAGCCGGCTCGCTCCGCCCGCGGACGTCAGGCCCCGCCCAGCCCGCCCGGGCGCCCGAGCCCCGCGCCCCGGGGACTGGGAGGGGGAGGGGCGGCCGGCGGCCTTAACCCTTCGGACCCCAGCCGGCCGGCCGGCCTCCGGAAGGGGCACCTGCTGGCCCCGGGCCAGGCCGTGGGAACGCGGAGCCGCCCAGTCCCCCCAGGGCGTGGCTCGGATCCTAGCCGACACCCCCGCGCCCCGCGGCGCCCAGGTCCCCGGCGGGCCCGCCCGGCTTGTCCCAGCCTAGAGGCTCCGTTCTTTGTTTCCATAACTTCGGGCACCTCTCGGCGGCCGAGCGCCCCCGGCGGCCCGGGCGCAGGCTCGAAGGCCGGGAGTCGGGCTCGATCGCATTGCCCCGCGTCCAGCCCCGGCCTCTGTCCTTCGAGGATGCCGCGCGTCCCCACCGCACCCCTAGAACCGCACCGCGTCCAGAGCGACGGCCGCGCGGATCCCAGACGTTTACTACACCGTCCCCCCACCTCCGGACGGGGTGCCCTCCGGAGACCCCGCGCAGCCCCCTCCCCCTCCCCAGGCCAGTTTTCGGTTTTATTGCCCTCGGACTGCCCCGGTGTCTGCCCCCATCCTGCAGGGGGGCGGGAAGGTGCATCTGCGCCACGTGAGTGGCCGCGTTTGGGGGGCCCTGCGGGGAATCCCAGGGGCGGAGGGAGAGAGAAACCCCCGATTGCAGACCTCATGTTTCCGGGCGGCCAGGTCAAATTCATAATCCCCACTGGGGTTGCTTAAAATATTCTAAAACAGGGAAATGGTCAGGAGGGACTGGACCGGGTGCCCACCCATGCAGCAAAGCAAGTGTGTTCATGGCCTGGTGGGTGCCAGGAAGACAGTGGAGCACGGGTATGGAGCACTTGCGGGGGGGACCCACCCTGTGCCAGGGGGTGCCTGTGCTTGAGGGGCATGTGGAGCCAACATCATGGCCAGGCTGAGTCCTCCACTCAGGACCACGCCCCTGCACAGGGCAGGCCCTGCAGGATGCCCGGGAAATGGGACAGAAACTGGAGGCTGAGCTCGGGTTTTGTCCCAGCTGTTTGCGTTTGGGAGCCTCCAGGCCCAAACTGGCCCCAAGGAAAGCCCGAGGGGGTGGGGATAGGGCCGCAGCTGCCGGGCTGGCAGCTCCCCCCGTTCTCTGAGCCAGGACAGCCAGGTGTCTGTCCCACATGGGACCCCCTGGACCGTCCTGCGAGCCTGGGGAGTTCCTGGGGCTGCATCCAGCTGTTCCTGGCAGGGCTCTGTCCCCGGAAGCACCACTGTCACCCTTCCTGGCTGCCCCTGGCCTCCTGCAAACCCGAGTCCCCAGGGGCTGCCCGGCCCCTTCCCTCTCTTCAGAGCTGGGAAACAGGCAGTGGGGATAAGCCTCCCTCCCCTCCCCCTCTCCCCCTTCGTAATTCTCTAACGTCCCTTTCAGTCCTTCCACCTAGGGTTGGGGGGCAAGAAGGAGCACCTCCCTTTGCAGGAGCAGCTCTGGGTCAGGAGGGCTGCTCAGAGGGTGGGCAGAAGACCTGCAGGAATCTGGAGTCACCAGACAGGCCGGTTCAGGAGCTAATTTATGATCCCTTGCAAAGGACAGCGCCTGGGGCAGTAGCGATTGGATGGGGGATTTGACCTGCCCAGTCCTCCCACCTGCCCCAGGTCCCACCACTGCAGCCCACTTCTCCCCCGGGCACCCCATGGCAGCTGGGGGCCCTGGAAGTCTGGGGCTAGAGACTGGGAACCCTCCCCCTGATCTAGGTAAACTTTCCAATACCCGTGGAGGGGCCAGTGGGCAGAGGTGGTGGGTGGGCGCCCCTGAGCCCCCTGGCGGCCAGGCCTCCCCCGCCTAAGGGCACAGAGCAGGCAGGAGAGGCCAGAGAATGCGCTGAGTCAGCGCAGCACCCAGCTGGAGGAGGGTTCGTCAGGGACAGGACAGCTGCCCAGAGCAACTGCTGGCCAGTGCGTTTGGGGGGAGGACAGAGGAGAATGTGGTGTCCACTCTCTGCCCCACTGTGTGCCCGTGTGCCCAGCCAGGAAGGGGACGGCAGGAGTTGGCCAGTCATTCACTGCCTTCCCCGATTGTCGCGCGTCCCTCCCACACCAGGTCGCCCAGTGTTCTGTCCTGAATCCCCAGGAAAGGCACATCCAGTCCTGGGGTGGGTGCCCCCCCACTGCAACAGCACCCCAGGAGCACCTGCCGCCCCACCTGCAGGCCAGGCCCCGCACACCTGGCTCGGCCAGGTGTTCTCCAGGCAGCAGCTGTGTGGGGTGCTCCCTCCACCCACATTCGCCTCGTCCTTGTGCTTGCAATACGTAACAGGTGGCTGTGCTGGCCTCCGGTCCCAGACCCCAGCTCTGTCTACGGCCCCGCACCCTTGGGAGGAGGGGGAAGCAGGGGCCCTGCAGTCGGCTTGAGGGAGGGGCCGCCGCTTCCTGGTCCAGGTCTGTCTCAGCAGGAAGAGGGGTGGGGGAGCTGGTGCTGCAGTTCGCAGGGTGGGAGCTGACCCCTAACGGGTGCCCTTCCACGGAACCAGCGGGCAAGCACATCTGTGTGACGGAGCAGAGAAACTGGGGGCACGGCAAGGCCGATTCTGGTGGCTGCTGGAAGGGGAGCCCAGTCCTGAGGGAGGAGGGCCACGTTAGCCGGGCGCCAAGGACTCCCGGCGGGAAGCAGCCTCAGCAGCAGGGTGGACGAGCTGTGGTCGCTGCTCAGCCAGGAGCCCTCCCCTGTCCTTGGCTGGCACCGTTCCTGTGGGAGCCAGTCCAGTGCCCGGGACCAGTGGGCAGAGGACAGGCCTCCAGGAATGAGGACCTGGACCAGAGGACTGGCAGGAAGCCCAGAGCAGCAGCTGGACCCCTCCCCAGGCCAGGGGCACCCCTATCCCTGCAGGCTGCCACCTGTCTCCCCCCTGAGAGCTGCTGTCCTCAGATGAGGGGGGGCCAGGGGAGACCCCCTTGTTTTTGTCATGAGGATGGTTGGGGATAGGCCCCTGCTGCTTGGGAAGGAGTGGTACCTTCCACTCCCTGCTGCCGCCCCAACTGGGCCACCGCTGGGCTGGGCTCAGCCCCCAGGGCACGTGGTCCTGGGAAACCGGAGGCCATAGGCTCTCGGTTGACCCCACCAAGGAATAGCCAGGTTTTTTTTTTCCTTTATTGATTTGAGAGAGAGAGGAAGGGAGAGGGAGAGAGAGATAGAAACATCGATGAGAGCGAACATCGACTGGCCGCCTCCTGCCCGCCCCCCACTGGGGATCGGGCCCCACGACCTGGACACGTGCCCTGATCGGGAATCAAACCGGCCACCTCCTGGTGCAGGGTCGAGGCTCAACCCCTGAGCCACACCAGCGGGTGGAACAGCCGGTAACCCACACACTGCCCGGCCAAGGCCCCTCCTCTGGGAGCCTTCTGACCCCTGTGCGCCCTCTCATAGGCCATACTCCCAGGGTGTCCACTGCAGGCCTGACCCGGGGCACCCTGATGGGGGTGGAGGGGCACAGACAGGTGTGCCCGGGTGCCACAAGGCCTGGACTCTCCGAAGAGTCTCCCCAGATCTGTCGTTCCCCCTGGACTCCTCTTCCCAACAGGCGTCCAGGCCGGGCAGGTGCAAAAGGCACACACACCTGGGGAGCTCGGGAACCGGTTGTGGCTCTCCAACGGGAGGTCGGCCTGATGTCCCTGTGGGTCTCCAGGAGCCCAGAGGCCCGGCCTCAGTGTCTCCCCCTGAATGTAGGAGAGGCCCCGCCCCCAACTGACGTGGGGGACCCTGGTTTTGGGAAGAGCTGGAGCCCCCAGGATAACAGCTCCAGGGGCTGAGCGCCTGCTGGGCTGGCTGCTTGCCGCCCCCCCCAGCCCCCCAGGCAACCTGGGCTCCTGCTTGGCCTAAGATGAAAGCCAGGCCCCGGGCTGCAGCCCAGCCCCGCCCCCTTCCGGTCAGTCACTGCCTGAGGATCCCCCAGCCCCCCCAGAACGGGGCCTGCTTACCTCCACCCTGCACACAATAGGGCCCCTGCCCCTATTGACGCAAGAGATGTCCAGACCTGTAGAGAATTTTTATGAGACTTACTTGAGCCAAACACGACCTTGCTGGGGGGGGGGGGGCAATATCACACACGCTTCCCAGAAGTGACGGTTTGCGGCTTCTTTTATGCGTTTGAGTTCAGGAGGGACCAGAGGGAATGTAGGAGCTGGGAGAGAGCTGGAGGGGGGAGACCGGGGACCTGGGAGAGTGAGCCCCAGCCGGTCACAGGAGAATTTCTTTCTGTTTTGTTTTGTTCATCCTCACCGAGGATATTTTTAGATAGAATGGAAGAAAGGGAGAGAAGAGAGAGAGAAACATCGATGTGAGAGACACATTGGTGTCTGGCTGTTCTCAGGACCCCGGCCCCATGCACCTCCCTCGAGGGGGGCCCATCCCGGCACTTCCCAGAACCTTGCTGTGCTGTGAAGTTGGGGTCCAGGCCTCCTGATCCCAGAAATATGGGGAACACATATGTGATGGTCCCCCACATGTTGTTGTGTGTCCCCACCAGGACCCCCGTCCCATCCTCGCCACCTCTCTGCTCCAGCCCCCAGCCCTGGGGGCAGGAGGCTAGGGGTGGGGACTCCCCAGCACAGAGGGAGGGACCCCCAGCCCCGGCCTGGCGGCCTGGCGTGCTCTGCCCCGCTCCCTGGAAGGGCAGAGGTCCTGCAGGCCCCCTCCCCCGCCTGGTCCTTGGGGCCTGGCCAAACCCTTGTTCCCATGGGGGGCAGGGTGAGGGCTCTGCAGCTTCTCCAAGAGGTGCCCACAGTCGGCCTTATATGGCCAGGAGGCCTCGGAGCCCAGGAAGGATCCGATTTCCCAGGAAGGACAGGCCGGGCTGTGGGGAGCGAAGCCTGGACTGCCTCACTGACCCCACCCAG